ATCTTATTCTATCCAACTCGTCCAATTCAATCATAGACGTTAATGTCTCTGAACCTCTCCTCAATTCTGATCATAATACGGTCCTTTTTCAAATATAAATGTCCTTTGATTCCCTCGTCTCCTACCACTATTCGTCGATTGAATTTTTCCAAATGCAACTTCGATTCGATCAATCTTTCTCTTTCTTCGCTTAACTGGGATCGTCAATTCAGTTTTTTTTCTACAGTTGAATCTAAATTTCAGCATTTTCTTCGTATATTTAATGAATTGATTCGCGACAATTGTCCTTTCACCTCACTTTCTCACCGTTCCTCTTTTAATTTCAAATCTGACCGTCTAATTCGTCGCTTACTTCAAAAAAAAGCCTCTCTTATCAATAACGGTCTTCATTCCACTCACCTCCGGCAAAAGTTCAATCTCACTGTCAAACTTATTCGTAAAAGAACTGCTTTTTTATTAAGGAAATTCCATACCAAAGTTGCTCTATCCTACAACTCCTCTAAACTTTCCAAATTTATTTCAAGACAGCTTAAGATCGATTCTGGGATCCCCAATCTGCTTTTCAATGATAATTATATAATTGATGATGAATCAAAGGCCGATGTCTTCTCATCTGTGTTCTATTCCAATTTCTCTAACACTAACCCTCAACCTTTCCCAGCTCTTCCCTCACCTGAACCTATTAACTGTAGTATATTTTTCTCCCCCGATGTTGTTTATAAATTTCTTGCCTCTCTACCTCCGAAATGTGGATTTTCCACTGATAATATTAACTTTCTTGTTCTTAAAAGATGTGCTAGATCTTTAAGCCTTCCCCTGTCTCTCCTATTTAATGAATCCTATTTAACTGGTGTTATCCCTCTTCTCTAAAAACACACTACGGTCATACCTGTACATAAAAAAAGGCAGTTTGTCTGACCCTTCCAATTTCCGTCCGATCTCTCTCACTCATCCTATATCACGTGTATTGGAACGTATTATCGCCCATATGGTTAGAAATCGATTCGCTCATAAATTCTCTCGATTTCAATATGGATTTTTTTAAACCGTAGATCTTGCAAACTCTCTCTCATCTCTTCTATATCCGACATAAAAAAAGTCCTTGGCCTCCAATCTAAATGTCGATGTTATTTACTTTGATTTCAGCAAAAGCTTTTTGATAGAGTAGATCACAATTTGCTACGTCTTAAAATGCTAAACTTTGGTTTTGATAATACTCTGAGCCGTTGGTTCTCTAATTTTTTTATCTCACAGAAGTTCAATTGTTAAGGTCAACAAGTCTTTTTGCCAACAATTGCTTTTCCCAACCCTTCCGGTGTCCTCCAAGGCACTGTCAGCGGCCCTCTCCTCTTCCTCATTTTTCATCAACGATATCGAAAAATTACATTGATTCCTCTACTTCTATCTCAATTTTTTTGCGGATGATATTAAAAATCTATAGCTCCTGTCCCAGATCTCTCCAATCAAGCATTAACGGTATCCTTGAATGGTCTCATATTTGGTCTCTCCCACTCGCCTCAAACAAAACGTTCTCTGTTCACTTTGGCCCAAATAATCCTCGCACCCTTTACTATGTTGACCTCCTTGAAGTTCCTCAAAGCTCCATAGTACGTGACCTTGGTTTATTTATCGATGACAAGCTTTCCTTTAAACAACACATCAGCCGTATTGCTGCTTTTGCCACCTTACGTTCTAATCAAATACTGAATACCTTCAAGTTCTCTTCACCTTTTAACTACTTCCGTATGTTTCAAACCTACGTTAATCCAGTCCTTGAATATTGCTCTGAGCTTTTCTCACCCGCCATTTCCTCTGAGGAATCTCACAAACTTGAATCTTCACTGCGTCTTTTTTTAGTCGGAAAGTTTTCATTCGTTGTAATGTTAGTTTCACTTCTTACTCAGATCGCCTTAGTCAATTTAACATCAAACCGTTATTCATTCGTCGTGAAATTTGTGACATTATCACCTTGCATAAAAATCATCTGTGGCTCTGATCATTTTTCTCGATCGCAATAAGTATTTCACTCAATCCCTGTTACAGAGAAATCCACTTCGACTACGGACTACTGGTCAGTTTTCTAATGACTTTTTCTAGAACTATTCCTCTTTGGAATAAACTAACTTCTTATTTAGATTTTAACGTTACCCCATAAACTCTGCGTAAAAAAAGTTGAATGCTCTTCCGTTTGAAGCCTTTCATGAAAAATATCCCCTCTCGTCTCCTGTGAATTTGCCATATTTCCGGGTACCCGTCAACTCGTTGGGGTTGACTCTTTCCCGTGTATTGTTAATTCTCTGCCTATTCCTTCACTTGATCATCTATTCTTCAATTATATGTTAAATAATGGCAGTGAATAAACTATCTATCTATCTATTGCCCTCCATTTCAAAAATTCCATTCACTTAGATCCTTCCCAGTATCGAGCGTCCTTATGAATTGCAGAGTGGTCCCTGTAGGGGTTAGGGCGAAAAAAAGCCTTTTAGGAGCTGAAAAAGTGGTCCCTATAGGAATATAATCAAGGTGGTCCCTATAGGGGTTTAGAGTCCGTTCAATTTTATTCAAAAAAGGCTATTTTTCTTATGTTGTTTCGCATCGTGATGCTCCTTCGCATAGAGTCCGTCAAAATTTTCGGGATTCCAGGTTCCGATCAGCAATCAGATCGGCCCCGACGGCCAGGGCTTCAACATCGCGATGGCCGGACTGAACGGCGGTCGAGTCAACATCGCCAGCTGCTCATTGGGAGCGGCTCAGCGGAGCATCGATCTCGCCATTGAGCATCAGAAGGTCTATATTCTGATCATGACTGGCTTGCGGGAAAAATAATTTTTGAAGATCGTCTTCTGAGGCCACCTGACTAGGAAGGCCATTTTTTTTGGTTTCGACTTTTTTACTGAACGACATTCCGCTATTCCGCTGCGTGCGGTCGCAAAGCGGTTTTGCCTTTGCGAACCTTGGTCTCCAGAATGGAATAGTCTATCCACCAGCAATGATAACCAATTGAAGGCGGGACCGAGATTTGCAAAGGCAAAGACGCTTCGCAACCGCACGCAGCGCAACAGCGGAATGTCGTTGAATAATAATAGTTTGAAAACGCGATCGAGATTCGCAAACCGCTTCGCTACCGCACGCAACGCAACAGCGGAATGTCGTTCATTAAAATTTCAAGTTGAGACAAACTGACTATACTCATGGTATAATATGAAAAACATGCAAAACTTAACGATTTGCTTTGACTTTGAGGTTGTTTTTTTCAAAAACGGTCAAGAGTTTCAAGAAGTTTATTTGGGACCTGAGAATGTAACCTGATCTGATCCCTGGAGGAGAACCAAGTAAATGACCTTGAGAGACTAAAGTTCAAATTCCAATCACTAATCGTTTTGCGGTAACTTCTTCAGGTCCGCAAGCAGTTCGGCAAGACGCTCTCGGAGTTCCAGTACAACCAGTTCAAACTCGCCGAGATGGCGACGAAACTTCAGACCAGCAGGTCATACTCCTCTTTCACCGAGAGTGAAGCTGGGAGTTCAGGTTGATCGTCAGACAGGCGGCTCGTCATCTCGACGCCGACTCGCCGGACAAGGTCGCCCTCTGCGCCATGGCCAAGCTCCATGCCACGGATTACTGCTTCGAGGTTGGTCTTTACGTGCGAACAATTGAAAAAAAAAACCGATGCTCTGTCTTCCTCATGAGCAAATTTTACGAACGAAGCAGTCGGATCTCTCTTTAAATGATCTTAATGGAGAAAGAGCTGAAAAAATATGCAATTTCAAAAAGGGGTTTCTGCACTTCTGGACTGGACGTCTTGCAAATGCGACATTGGAATTCCAGAGTGGTCCCTATAGGGGCCGAAAAAGTGGACCTATAGGGGTTTAAGGTTTGGCCCCTCAGCCCCTACAGCTCAAGTGAACCCTAAAAAAACTTTCAACTTTATTTAAAAAAACTCTTATTTATTTATTTTTTTCGCATGGAAAAAGCTTCTTCGCTTGGAGTTCATTACAATTATCGACTAGCATTTCCCCTATAGGGACCACTTTTTGCAAGCTTTAGGGGTTGGCCCCGTAGGTTGCCCCTATAACCACTCTGGAGTTCCCAAGAATATCTTGAATTTTTCAATTCTCGGCACTTTGAACAGAAGCCAGATTCTGTCATTTAATTTCATATTTTCAAAAAAATCTCCGCGGGACAAATCGAGTAGTTAATCGCCCCCCTCCCTTAAAAATAAAAAAATAAAAATAAAAATAAGTGTTCACTCATAGTCAAACGAAACCGAGGTAACGAGAATTTGAAAAATTTCCATTTTTACAGAATCTCTGAAACATCAAAGTTCGAAATAAAAAGATTAAAAAGAAGTGAGAGAAAGTCTCGTTGTCTGGCGTCTTTTCTCTTCAACTTTAAAAGCTGAAATTAATCTTTTTTCCCCAGGTTGTCAATCAGTCCCTCCAAATGTTGGGCGGCTACGGATTCTTGAAAGACTACCCCATTCAACAGTACTTCCGCGACATTCGCGTCCACCAGATCCTCGAAGGGACCAACGAGATGATGCGGATGATCATCAGCCGCGACGTCCTCAACAAGGACATCTTCTGGAACTCTTAACGGAGACTAAACTACATATATTCTTTCATAGGAAACTTTTTCTTCATGTCGAATTCAAAAAAACGGGTACTTATGAACTAACAATTCTTTCTTTTTTTCGTGTAATATTAGCATTTCATATGTCCAACTTTATGGAACGCGCGGTGTTTTATGGAACAAGTATAATTTGATTATAAACTTCTTTTTGATTTCGGTCTGGAGCTGCAAATGATGAATAGACAAAGAGAAATGTACACCCAAAAAGAGAGATTTGAGTCATAATTATGATAAATAATTAAAATTGAACGAGTACCCACAACACATTAGTCACAGCCAAAAAAATAGGGTTCTTTCGAAAAAGATTCAAGTGGTCACTTTAGGGATTCAACTTGAGAGAACTGCAAAAAAATTGTATGAAAAAAGTCCACGCGGACCTCGGTAACGAAAACCGGACGTTTCTGAACAATTCTAGGGATCACTTAAGAGGACTGACGCAACTAAAATGGTCACTCGAAATTGCGTTACCGAGATCCGACAAGCTTGGAAGGGTTCCGGCCGAAGTGGTCACTCAAGTGCTTTTTTTCAGCTCTGAAGAAGATTTAGCCTCGAGTGGTCCCTAAAGTGATCTGATTCAAGTATTCATTCAAGGGATCTGGAATTCTCAAGTGGTCATTAAAGTGGTTTGAGCTTCAATTGTCCCTCTGCTCTGATAAAAAAAAGTTCCACTTGAGTAGCTCGAGCTTGGAGAGCTTTACGAGTAAAGTTGAAGTGGCGACTCAAGGGATTTTCCAGTTATAAAAAACTCCAAGTGACCACTTAAGAAAGCCGAGTAAAAAACCTTTAAAGGATCATCAGATAATCAAAATTACGATGTGAACGCTCAAGCTTTTTAAGTTTAAAGGAACCACTTGAATAAGTCAATAAAATCCCTCAAGTGGCCACTTGGAACCTCTCAACTTGTTGTTAAAACGAATAGTTACAAAAGACAGACACCGAATGTGAATAAATAAATGACGATTGGGAGAGGGGAAAAAAAGAGAAAGTGAATAGTTGCATTTTTGTTTGATCTTCATATTTTGTTGATTTTAGCTTGCCTTTTCCTGGTGGGACAATCACAGAAAGCACCTCGTTGAAGGCGACGAGAAGAAAAAAAAGAGAATGGCGTCGAAAAAAAAGCGGGGAAAATACAAAGGAGGAAAATCACAACACAAAGGCAAATTGATTGTTAAAAAATGGATTAAAAAAGGCTATTTTCGCTGCTGCAGCTGATTGGCCAGCCAATCCATCGCCGCGTCGAGACCCTCGCCTTTTGAGGCGGAAGTCTTGAAAATCTGGATCGTGCGATTCCGCAACGCTTCCAAGCCCAGCGCTTTGTACACTTCCGTCTCGGTCAGGCAGCCGGGAATGTCCTGAAGGGAATTTCTCATTGTTCCATCAGGAAAAATATGGAACTTTCACCGAGTATTATCATCTACTGGTCAAAAAATGAGGTTCAGCGAAACTTCTTTCTTGAATGTTCTTAAAAGTTCCAGAGTGATCCATATGGGGGCCGAAAAAGTGGTCCTTATAGGGGTTTAGGGTCTGACCCCTTAGCCCCTAAAATTTGAAACATCACTTAAAAAAAGTGGATCCTATAGGATTTTTTTCAATTTCCTTCTTTTTTTATTTTAATATACCACTAGTTTATCAACTTTTGAAACCGAGACAAAAAATGTCTCAAAAACGGTCTTGAAAAAAACTATAAAAAAATATATCACATGAAGAAGCTCATCAGAAAAAAATTAGTTATCAACAATTATTTCTATAAGGATCAACAAGTTCATCGATATATTCCTTGAATTTCTAAAAAAATTTTATTTTTTTACCTGTTTATTTGCCAAAACGGCCAGAACAGCTCCTTGAAGTTCATCCTCCTGAAGCATTGAAACGAGCTCTTGCTTCGATATTCCGACCTGAAATAAAAATTCCAAAACTTTCTTCCATCAAAAATCGAGGTCATACATGGGATAGTCTCGGTGGGACCTGATAAAGGGAAGGGGACTTGGCAAAAAAACGAGAAAGGGGGGGTGGCATAAACCGTTAAAAAAATTTTTCAGGGCGGCGCTAGTCCGATCTTATAACATTTTTTTCTTAGTTAAAATTGATCAGAGTGAAAAACGCTTTTCCATTTTAGGGGGGTGCTTGGTTTTGAGTGGGTTAAGGGGGTGGGGGACTTGGCTGTCGCCAGTTATGCTTATCTCATGTATGATCGAGGCGGTTTGATTTTATTCTCGCTGTGATAAATCTCATTTAGTACTGAACAGGTACCAATGAAGCCAAAAATGACACGAACCCGGTCCCGGTCCGCCGAATCGACAACGTAAATGATGGCGTCGGTGTTGGCGTAATAACATCGCCAGTAGGGCCGGATCGAGGTCTGCCCGCCGAGGTCCCAAACCTGCAAATCTCCCGATTTTCGCTGTAATTATCAACAGAATAACCTGGAACTTTAGATTCTTGTACTCGACCTGCTCCACGTTGAACCCTATCGTCGGGATTGTCGTCACGATTTCACCGACCTGAAAAAATATGTTATCAACTAGAAAGTACAAAAAAACAATAATAACAAAGAAGATGGTCAGAAAAAAGGCGCTGAAACTTCAAAAATCCACAAAAATCGATTAAAAAAAACAGAAAGAAAAATTCCGAGTCAAAAATGTTTGACCTTTGATAGATTCCCGCCTTCTCGATCTACTTTTTGTAGGTCATTAGCATTCTTAGGAACTCCAGAGTGGTCCCTATAGGAGAAACTTTAAATGCCCTTGGAGAGCCCTCTCTAGGGACCACTTTACCAGCCTCCATAGGGGCCACGAAAGTTTTTAAAAGGGGTCCCTATAGGGATTTTAGTTAGTGGCCCCTCTAGGGGACATGCTGTAACCTTTTTTGAACAAAATTGAACGACCCCTAGAGGGACCACTCGAGCTTTAAGGGCTAAAGGATCAGGCCCTAAACTTCAATAGGATTGATTTTACCTCTACAGGTACCCCTTTTTTTGGTTCCTATAGGGGTGTTTTCCCCCTAACCCCTATAGGGAACACTAAAATCCCTAAGTTCTTGAGGTTCCTGATTTTCCTGCTTGCTTGTACCTCATAGTTAGGAACTCTTCCCGACTTCAAAAAACAGATAAAATTAGATAAAAAATTGTAATAAAGGAGTTTTCTTCAAGAATCCGAAAAAGTTTCTTTCAATTCTCATCAAAAAAACAAATACAAAATTTTGATTTCAGTGAACTTTTCTTGATTCCAGACCCGAAAAAGTCAATGAACACTATTTAAAAAACTTCAAATAGACTCTATAAGTGGTTCCAGCAATTCTACATTTATTTTTCTCACAAATTTATCTCTCACATAAGCCGTATTTCCAAAGAAAAAAAAATGGGCAGAGAAAAAATTATAAATGATTTTTAGCGCCAAAAAGTCTTACTTTAACCTGAAAAAATCTCCCCAATCTCACCTGCAATCTGTAAAGAATCGTCGTTTTGCCGGCTCCGTCCAGCCCCAGGATGAGTATCCGCATTTCGCGGGCGCCGAAAAGGCCCCGAAAGTAGGACATCACACCGCCCATCTGTAGATTTTTAGAAAATGAATCATGGTGTTTTTCCGTTCTGAGAGTACAGCAGAAAAAGAGCTGCCATAAACACAGCTCTTTTTTGAATTTCTGCTCTGCAAAACTGCAAAAAACAAAGGTCTCGAAGCGAACTTCGATCACATTTGGTGTACGGTCTTTTTCGCAAAACAAAAAATAAGAAAAGCTTTCGCGGAATGGGTTATAAAAAAAATTTGAGAGGAAAAAAGTTTCGAAACAATTTTGATATCATGACCATGCGCCTTTAAAGGGCACAGTTATTGATTACCTTCATGTTAATTATTTCAAAAAATTGAAAAATTAATTATTCTAGTGATTTATCTGTAAAGAAAAACGATAAAATCGTAAAATTCATGAAAATTTAAAGGCGCATGGCCAGGACTTTAAAAGATTAGCCTGAGGTAAAAATAAACTTTTTCAAAAGAAAGATCTTCTAAAATGTCTAAAAAACCGTTTGTTAGCGCAAAAGTTTTGATTGAAACGAAAAACGGCTTTTCGCGTCGAGACATTTAATAAAATTGCTTGTGCGCCTTTAAAAAAATGTGCTCAAAAGCTCAGAAAAACGTCACGACAAAAAGGATAAAGGTATGGCAAAAACCAATAATGAACCATTAGAAAAAAACAGTTTAAAAAGAAAAAAATTTATGAGATAAAAGTACGAAAATCTGTTTTCACCTTTTTTCTAGATAACAACACAACAAGTAACAAATAACAACAGATAACAACGGAAAAAAATCAAGATTTTTTTTGTTGTATCGAAGGCCTTTGGAGAGGCGGTTGGGGTTGAGGCCGTAGGCCTTGACTCGAGCCTCCGTCATTCCTTGTCCCAAGTTCGAGCTCAACGTCTTCTCCATCTTGGCTCTCTGGAATTTCGAAAAATGAATGAAAATATGAAGATTCAGCTCGAAGAGTTTCTATTGGAAATATATAATCAGGCAAAGTCGGAATGGTGGATAACGGCCGAGGCTCAAAAAGACCGCAAAAAGGCTCAAAAATGTCGCAGAAAGGCCGCAAAAAGAGTCCCTTTAGCGAGCCTTCCTTTTACTAGCATTTTGAAGACACAAGAAATGATGGAGAAAATGAAAGGCAGCAAAAATGGTGCAAAACAGCCGATAAAATGGCGCAAAAATACAACAAAAAAAAAGAACATTTCTATGGAGCTTTTTTCCACCTTTTCCGACTTTGCCCATGATAGTAGTCAAACTAGTGGCCACTTGAGTGCTCAAAATTCAGTTACCTTTTTAGAAGTCTAAATGCTACAATTAGACCACTAAAAATACTGCAGTGGCCCTTAAAATGTAAAATAGTGGCCTCTACAGAGGTGGTTTCAGTGGCCGCTTTAGGGCCCTCTCCAATCAGTCGTTCAGGATCCACTTAAGTGCCCACCAAAAATTTTTCTAGCCAGTTTAACAAGTTTATACTGCAAAAAATCTTTGAAAAATCTCACCTTGTCCAGCTTGACTCCAGCCTTCGCCGGTCGTTTTCGCTTCTTTTTGGCTTTTTGACCGTTCTCAGCGACCTTCGGTTCCGGTTCAACAGCTGTTTTTTCCTCCTTTTCAGCAACTTTTTCTTCGGGCTGAAAAAGTAGCTATGTGAAAACTCCTCAATCGACAGAATAAGCTTTTTTGTGTTGATTAGAGACATGGGGGTCTTGAGAAAAATGTGCCATTATTTAGGGTTCTAAAAACCTTTCAAAATTCAGGTTTTGACCTTTTTAAAAATCTCTAAAATACCAATGAGCAACAATTCTGCAAATATCAAAAAACTTCTAATTTAGTTACAGGCCGGCTCAAAAATTTCCCATTCATCTGAAATCTTCAAAATCCAACAGTTTCTGACGTCATTCCTTTAAAAATCAAATCATCAACAAATTATTCCAAATTTACCTTAACTACATGGAAAAACTCTCGAATCCCTCCAAAACTGTCTAGATCTGACATTTTCGATTTTATGACTAGTTTAAAATCCTGATTTGGTTCAAGTTTTATTGATGAAGGAGCCTGAAAAACACTAAAATGAACAAAAAAACAGCAAAAATATGGAAATTTTTGAGAAAAACGACTTCATCTCTACACTCCTAACTTTTTCTTTACTCTCTAAAGTTATTATTTCCTATTAATTCTAATAAAATTTCAATTTTTTTACCCTGTAATAAAAGGGGGGGCTCGGGGTGGGTTCCAGCCAACGTATGACTGTTCAAGACCTTTTCAAATATTCATTCCCTTTGGAAAGCATTTTTTACCTTCTCCTCCCGCCCAACGACCGCTTCTCCATTGGTCTTCTTCTTCACGCGTCGTTTCTTCTTTTTCTTTTTCTTCTCCTCCAACTCCACAGTCTCTTCCTTCTCTCCATCCACTTCTTCCGTCTTTTTCTTGGATCTTTTTCTGAATAAATGGTTGTTTTCAAAAAATCATGACGAATCAATAAAACCCTCCAAAATCAGTATTGAAAAGCTTCTTTTTCCTGGCCGAGTCTAGGGATTTTTTCCGGTAGGCGGTCAAATCGAAGGCCTCTTCCTGCTGGGTTCGGTAGGCGGTTACCTGAAAATGGATATTTCGGGTTGATTTTTGGAAGATTCAAAAAGTCCCACCTTTCTGAGTGAGGCCCAAGCGTTCAATTGCCTTTCATCAGCCTCCAAAATTTCATCGGCCGTCAAGCCAAAATCGTTTGGGACCACGTCCCGATACTTGAACTTGGTCACTTGGTCCCCTAAACTCCCAAAAATTTTTGAAAAATGATTTTTTTTTTCTGATCCTAATGTTAAGAAGGAGTTGGAGAAATCATAAAAACTGGATTTTATTTTCGTAGATGACTTTTCCAAACTGCTTTTTTTCTCTAAAATCTATCAAAAAGGATATTTTCGCCTGGGAACACACTTTTTTTCTTGAAGCCTGTAAGAAAACTTCTTGATAGGTCTCTTAATGAACCTTCAAAAAATCGCAATTTCTCGCTTTTCTGTTTAAATTCTCTATGAAAAACAACAGATTCCAAAAAACAAAAAGCATGCGAAAAAAATCAAGCTATAGAAATTTTTGAAAAAAATCGCCTGTTTGGCTTAAAAAATGGTTTTTCTTCTAAAAAAATCAATTAAATTCAGGAAAAATTTTCTATTTTTTTTCGCAGCTCAATTGATTCGGATCTACTACAGCTTCGAAAAAAATAAATTATAATCTTAGAAAAAAATTTTTTTAAAAATGTTCAATTTTCCAGTAATTTCGTTTTCCAAGTAATCCCACAGACTTCAAAACATCTCTGACTCTCCAAAAATTCAGTTATCTTTTTTTCACTCTGACGGCTCTTTTGAATTTCGGAAAATCACTTTGAACAAAAAATTAAAACCAAAAACTAAAAATATAACTTTTTGAAGATACTGAAAAAAATACTAATTAATCGATAAAATAGACAAAAAAATCGAGAATTTTTCAAATGATTGGAAATCAGCGTACCGATAACGTCTTCATAGTCGAGGGCGAAATATTCGTTGAAATACTCCTCGAAAGTTTTCTCACGCGGATCAAACAACGGCTTCTCGCGGCGCAACGCGTCTTTCAAAGCGTTTCGCTTCCTTTTTCGGCGATTATCTGCAAAAATGCTCAAAATTACAAGAGTTACCTGATTTAAAAAACAAAACCCCGTGGATAATTACAGAACTTTTGAGAAAATCGAAACTGTCTGAAATTTTTCAATTTTTTGTTAAAATTCCATAAATTCAATTAAAACTGAACATTCAACTTTTTCAATAGAACTCAAAGACCGGCATTAAGAGATGAAAATCGTTTACCTGAAGAAAAGCCTTTAAAAAATAGTGACCTAAGAAAAAATAGCAGTAGTCCAACCATGGGCGAAAGTCCGAAAATCCAATCAAAATTGGATTTTCAACTTATTTCTCGGATTCCTCCAAAAGAAATCTCTTTTTCGCAATCAAAAACTATCATAAATTTGGTCGAGAAGTAGAAAACACAAATTCTTGCGGTAAAAAAAGTTTCAGGAAGATGCTCAAAATTAGATTAAATTTCTGGGAGATGTTCGAAATACAAGAAAAACATCATTTCATGGAAAAAAAAACCTGAAGTAAAGTACCAAATCATCTTTAAGAAAAGTTTATAGCGCAAGAAAAAGGCTCAATTTTTGCAAAAAAATGACCTCATGTCCTAAATGTCAATCAAAACTGAATTTTGAGCTCTTTTTCTTGGATTATTCCAAGAAGGTCTTCCTGGCGCTTTTTAAAGTTTTTTTAATGATTAAAAATCGGAAAAAAATTCTAATTTTTTTCTGTACAAAGTTTAGGTCCTTTGAAAGAACTCAATTTTTTTTATTGATTTATCTGTACACTTTATTATTTTTTTCTTCTTTCTAAAAAAATATGTACCATTAAGAAGATGAAAAACTTGTTGAAAAGAAAAAAGTGACGATGAAATCTAGAACAGAAGGAGAAAAAGACGATAAAAAGGCTCTTTTTTCTTGAAAAAAATTTGATAATAAGCTTTAACTGACTTTTTTTTGCACCTTTCCAGGGTTTTGAACAGGATTTTTTTTTTCTTGAAAGATCCTGAAAAAAGCATTCAGACCGAGCTTTTGAATATGAGAAAATATCAGAGCATAAAAATTTTTTTTTCTTTTCTCAGAATCACCTTTCCCATCTCTATGGAGCGCATTTTCGGCCGCTTTAATCGCCCTTCCAGCCGAATTTCCCGGTTTCTCGTCGTCTTCTTCTTCTTCTCCGGATTCCTCAGCGACGTCTTCAGGATTCTTCTTCAATTTCGTCACGTCGACATCATCGAAATCTTCATAATCGCTATCCAAAACCTGAACGAAAAAATTGGAACATCAACAAAGATAAGAAAAATACCGCATCATCATCGCTGAAAACCGGTTTTTCGTTGTCATCTTCCTTGAAATCTTCTTCCTTTCCATAATATTCGTCGTTGAAAATGGCCTAAAAACTGATATTGATAAGAAAAAAAAGAAAAAGAAACAGAAAAGAAGGGAATGGAAAATCTTTAAAAATGATTGAAAAAAAATTTTTTACGTTTTACATTACGTGCTACTTCTACGTTGAAAAATGTAGAGAAAAAATTTTTTTCAAACAATTCAAGCTCGTTTTCATGATAAAACGTGAATGAAGTCCATTTATCGACGGAAAAATCGTGAAAACAGTTTTTTCTAATCAAAAATACAAAAAATAGCTCGTTTTTTTCAGTGATATTATGCTCTTTTCAACCCTTTTTTTTCTCGATTTTCTTTGAAAAATCAACTGAATTTTTTTCAACTAAATCTTTCGTATCGAAATCCGCTTGGATATAATATTTGAGATAAAATGTGAAAAAAATCACTTTTTTTCAACAGAATAAGCTTAGAAGTCTGTTATTTATCGGTGAAAAATCCTATAATTGACAAATTTTTCAGCTCGCTCTTTACAGAGGTTATCTCATATTCTAGGCTATTTTCCGAGATTTTTCTTAACTATTTTTTTATAATCAGCTGAATTTTTCAACAAATTCTTTCGGATCGTAATCAGCTTGAATTTAATTTTTTTAGAAAAACCCCTTTTTCAACAGAAAAAAAGCTTAGAAATTCGTTATTTATCGGTGAAAAAAATGCTCAAATAAGCGAAATTTTCAGCTCGCCCTTCACAGAGGTAATTCCATATTGGCTTTTTTTCGAGCTTTTACTTGATTATTTTTAATAATCACCTGCATTTTCTTATCAAACTCTTTCGGATCGAAATCCGCCTGTAGTTCGTCGATACTCAGCGGAATATCACAGCCAGCGGCCTGGAAAAAACAATATTATTGCAAGAAACAACAAAAAATGGTAAACTTTGCTGAGTCGGGCCAATTTCTCTTCAATTTGCGATCGCTTCATCTTTTTCAAGTGCTTGAGTTCCTGGAAAAAAACTAATTTCAAAGAGAAATATAGTCCGTTTTTCGCGACTTGAAAAGGCGGGACTTCTCTGCGCTCTCCTTGTCTCTCGACGTCTCTCTAATGTTTACGTGCTATTTCCATCTTTCTCTAATCTCGCCGTCGAGGGAACAAAGAGACGCAGACACGCAAAAACTGTCAAGTCGCGGCGAACACACTATGGAAAACTTTCAATGAAATATTGTTCAAGTAACCACTCGAGCAGTTGTTGGTTCTTGAAAAGGTCGCTTTAGGGGCCGCTTCAAAGTGGTCACTTGAAAAAATGAACTTTGACCCGCCTTTTTTTCAATTTTTTTGTCCTATAAAAAAATGGGAAAAAAACTATCAAAGTTCGGAAAAATCCTTCACTTTTTTTAAATTTTTTTATTTCAATGATGATTTAAGAAAGCGACAGAGTGTTCCCTCAAGGGGTCTTATCCAAGCATTTTTTCAAAATATTCATTTTTTAATGTAAAAAAAGCTGATAACGATAAGATAACCGTTTTTTTTTTCTTAAAATTCCTTTGATTGGCCACTAAATTCAATTTATTTTTTTCAAACGTTAGAGCAAAACTGAGTAATCACTCAAGGGCTCAAGTTCCCTTTGAAATTTATTTCAGATCAAAAAACTACGGAAGTCACTTAAGCGACAACTTGAAAGATCTCAACTAATCTCGAGTGGTCACTAAAGGGGTTTTATCCGTAAACTTTTCGAAATATTTTTTTTCATGGTAAAAAAAGCTGGTAACGAAAAGATAACCGTTTTTTTTTCTCGAAATCCCTTAAGAGGACACTAATTTTCTTTTTCAAACGTTGACTAATTTCGAGTGGTCACTTAAGGGAAACAACTCGACTGATTTTTTCTTGCCAAAGAACTCCATTCACCTTCTTCTTCTCCTCCTTCTCCTCTTTTTTCCTCTCGTTTCTCTCTTTTCTCTTCTCTTTCCTCTTACTGTCGTCTTTCCTCAGCGATTCGGAAACTGTACGGGGGAAGCTTTTCAGCTGAAAATTCTCATTTTTCACTCAACTTTCAGAGAATAACTCACAAAATCCTGATCGGGATTTTCGAACCGAAAATTGTACTTGATTTCGAAATTTCTCTGACGATCCATATCTTTTTCATCCTCTTCCAACTCCACGATCTCTTCATACGTTGGATTTCTTCAAAAAAATGTTATTTTTTTTCATTAAAAAAACGATTCTAATATTCATTTTTTTGAGCTTCCCTGATTTAATCTTGAGAAAAAACTGAAAAAAATTGATTTTTTTCTCACAGACTCCCGTTGATTAGTCCTAAACAAAAAGCCTTCAAAATTTAATTTTCGATCAAAAAGAGATTTAGTGAATCTTCATTTCTAAACAATTTCGAATAGATACTCATTTTTTTAGCTATAAAAAAATGAATCGAAAAAAATGAAAAAAATTCTCAAATAATTATATTTAAGAAACTCGAATCTATCTCTATATCGAAGTTCGATTTTATTTTATTTTTTTATTTTTTTTACGATTTTTTTCAAAAAAACTGGGAAGTCATGCGTCATGTAAATGGATTTTTTTCAAACAAAAATCTGATTTTTTTAAAAATCCTTTTTTTGGAAAAAAATCCTTTATTTCCACATTTTTTTCTGATTTGATCTTTTTTTGAATTTAGTTACTTTGAAAGGTATACATTAGAATTAATAAAAAAACAATTTTCCACTAAAAAAATACAAAAAACCAACTCTTCATTCTCCGTCGGCTCGTAATCCTTATTCAAAATATAATCGCGCAGAAATTTTTCATCCTCATCGATATTTTCATCGTTCCAGGCGACTTTTAACCGTTGCAACTCCTGAAAATCCCAATTAAATCAAAAATATTAACCAATTTTCACCTTCGGTTTCATGGACCCCGGCTCATCGCCTCGTTCTTTCAGCCACTCGTAGAAATCGTCTTCTTCTGATTTCTGAAAAAAATTCAATAAAGTAGGAAAACCTTACAACATTGATTTCAAAACAAGATTTCAGAAAAAACAATAATTTTCAAAAAAATGTGATTTTAGCGATCAAGTTTACTTCCCAACCTTTTCTTTGTCACTTTTCTGTCTTCGAACGAGCAATTCCTCATCTCCATCAGAATCATCACCATGTAAAGCCTTTTTGAATACTGAAAAACCACCAATAATACTTATTCTACAGAAAAATGAACCTTTTCCGGATCGCTTCCTGCTCTTCATAATAACCCGGTTCTTGTGGAGGCTGATCGTCACCATCGCTTTCATCGATATCACTGAAAAAGAAAAATGAACAGTCTTTGATAAGAAAATCGGTTGGAAATGGAAAAATGAAGGACAGTTGCTCGTGGCAGACGCGTTTCGTCCGCAATGCGCAGGGAACTAGAAACTCTGGACCTTACGCGCAAATTAGCGAAAAAAAGAAAAGCAGCAGGTTTTTCCTTATAAAAAAATGATTAGAAGATTCTAATTCACAGGATTCAAGTTCCAGAAAGAAGAAATATATTACTCAGCGTTCTGGGCAAATTTGAAAAAAAAGTGCAAAATAAAATTTATGAAAAACATACGAAAACTAATTATTAGAAAAAAAAACAAAGAGTTAAAATTTATAATTTTGACCTCCAGGAACGTTTTATAACTCTTCGAAATATACAAATAGAAGCATTTTTGTAGTGAGAAATGTTCCAATTATTCATAAAAAGTGGGAAAAAAAAAATCGGAACAAATTAATCAAATCACTTTTAAAAAAATGACCCTTTTTCAAAATTTTGAATAACAGCCTTTAAAAAATTCTATTTAAGACTGAAAAAAATCTTTTAGGGCCGAAAAACAAAATTGGCTGACCCGCCCTTTTCGAGGACCAATTTCCTCTCATAATCCTTCAACGTCATTTTTTTCTCCGCTTTTTTCCCATTCTTCGAGGATTCTCCATTTTGAGCCGCCTGTTCATCAGCAAAGAACCTGGAAACGGGAAAATTTTAAATTCACATGTGTTTTAATACAAAACCGCCGTTTCTCGTCATAAATCGAAGCATCTTTGGATTTCAGAGCTCCCAGCGTGCGTAGGAACGATTCCTCGTCGTTTTTGGTCCACTCCTAAAGGAAAAAAAAATCATAGGATCACAGATTTTTTGAAATTCGTTTTGAACGTGGTTTTGCCACGATGTGGAAAATCAAGAAATTTGAGCTTAAAAGCGATTTTTTTCAGGGAAAGGCTTGATAAACTGAAGATTGCTTCTCAAATGAAGTGATTTTCAAATCGAAGAAAACTCGAAAAGCAGGCTATGAAAAAAGAGCTCGAAAGGCTTTTTTTCATCATTTTAGGAGCTTCAGCAGAACCTTTCCAGCACCTTCTGAGGGTTCGCGAAGGATTTTTCCGGTTTGCCTATTTTAAAACTACCTTCATTCGAAAAAGCGATTTTCTCAAAACCCATCGAATTCACAAAAAAAGAAAAATGCGTTATTTTTAAATTCTATGTTCAGCCTTTTTAAAAAGAAAAATAGTGCAGAAAGTTCGAAAAAAATCTTTTTTTTCTAGCTCTAGAATTTTTTTCCAGAATTTTGTGAGAAAAAAAGATCCGTTGGAGACCCTTAGAAAATTTTTTTTTATTTGTTTTGCGTAAAAAAACTGAAAGAAAAAAATTAAATCAAACCGGCGCTTCCTCACTCGACGACGAATCATCACTTTCCTCCGCATCCCCGTACCGATCTTTTTACTAAAAATATATTATTTTAAAAACTTTTTAATAAAAATTGCAAATTCCCACTTTTTTGCATCTCTTCGAGCTGTCGCCAATTATCATATCTCGATGCGTAATTCTGAAACAAAACTAAAAAAAGTTTTTTTATAATATTTTTAAAAACCTTATTGATTGAAATATGGTCACTCGATCCACCCGCCTCCTCAGCCGGCTCGTCATCATCATCAAAAAGAGCCAGTTTTTCCATCTAATAAATAAAAAAATTCAGAGTTTGGAAAAATATTACTTCGAGTAGAAATTCATCAAATGAGTCAGAAAAAAGCTGAAGTGCTGATCTAATGAAAAAAATAGGGGGACTTAAAGAAAAAAATATAAACTTCAATTACTTTTCCAAATACAATTATTAAGTAGCTAGTGAAAAAAAGCTAGAAAATTAAAAATAATACTCAAATCGGTAATATAGTTCATTCACAATGACTTTCCAGTTGTTTGAAGACAAAAAAAGGGTTTTTTTAATGGCATTGGAGAAACGGAACATGTTTCAAAATACAAAAGCGTATTCATCGGGTCGCCAAAGTTTCTCCGAAACAAAAAAAGAATTCCTTTTTTTGAAGCATTTTTCCTTGCGTTTCGGGAACAATTTTCGCCCGATGAAAACTCCATAAAAACTATTTGTGCTTTTAAATATTAAAAAGGTTATATTTTTTTGAAAAAACTGATATAACTAGGAAAGGACGCTCTATAGAGAAAATTTTCAAAACCGAGCTTTTTGGATAAAATAAATTCGCGAGAGCTTTACTCTTCGAAGTGTCTGGATGTTCTCGAAGATCTTCCAAAATTCTGTTTTCAGTGCAATTTTTGATCATTCGAACAATCTTTTCTTTCAAATGACCAAAGAGGCGAGAAAATGAAAATAACTGATTCCGAAAAAACAGATTTCTATACCATGTCCCTTTAAACAAAAAATGCTACTCGACCGTTTATTAATCAACACATGAAATGGGTACAAGGAATGGTTCAGAATTACTCAGCCTTCGAAAAGGGGACAAGATCAATAACTTCAATTCAAATGAACAAATAAATATAACCGATTCGCCCCGACTGAGAAGTGACCTGACCTGTCTGAGCTCTCTTTTCCCTCTTTGAAACTTGAAATTAGAGACGGCAGATAGATCATACACTTTGAAAGTCGAGGCGAATGGAGTATAAATAAATAAATATTAAAAAAGCCCCACCACAACCAGAATTTTTTTTTCTTTCTGCACATGTATTTCAAGCATTATGCTCAGTCAAAGTTAACATCTATGTACAATCAAACGGTAAAAATGGTACAAAGGGTGTGGGTTTGAGTTGATTAATGATCCTGGAGCTGCTGCTGCTGCTCCTTCTTGAACGAGTGGATCGAGAGCTGGAAATTGTCCGAGTTAGTCAGATGAAGGTGGATCTCATCTACCTGGTCGTAGGCCGGTGGTGGGACTCCATCAGTCGGCTGACGTTCTTCCCAGCCGTCCTCAGGGACCTTCTTGGCCGGAAGAGGAGCAGCGGCGCCACAGTTCGGGCTCTTCAAAGGAGAAATACAGAAAATGAGAAATAAGTTGGTTTTTCCTAACAAAACACCTTACATTCAAATTTTCACGGCTTGAAACAGAAGATTTTTTTTCTCAAATCTCACGCATTTCTTCAAAATTTAGCTCACGTTTTCTGGTAATTTACATGAAATACGGGGTTTTTTTTTTTCTTGAATAAATAAAGATTATATTAACAGAATATCTTCCAATGCGATAATTTTTTTTTTCACTTTTTCCACTTTGAACAGGCTGTAAATGTCGTACTGCTCCGTTCCAATGGAAAACACAAAACTTTCAATTTTTTTGAAAAGGCCTTGAACGTGACATTATATACTGAAACTCACAGTCATCATGATGTAGTTCTTGCGACGGTACAGTCCGAAGAAGGTGATGATGGCGGCGAGGACGACAAAAAGCGCCAGAATGGCCACCAATCCGAGGAGCCAACGGACAGTGTTGGCGCGACGAGCCGCTTCTTCGCTTCGAGCTTCCACAAGGGAGACTGGAAAAAGTATTCCTATTTTCCAGATCTGCTGATGAGACAGGGTGACTCGACACACGATGCGGTTAAATTGTCAAAAAAAAAAGCCGATTATCACGCATGTTTAAGACAGTGCTACGGCCAATATTGCGCCGTCAGTTTCGGAGCCAGGAAATTTTTTTATTTTATCTTTTTCGCAATTTGTTAAAAACCTATTTTTCGAGGTTACAAAATAAGTTACGTCACAAAAAGTACACAAGTTTTCATTTTATTGCCCAAAAACCTAGCTTGATTACCGTAACACGACCGGCCGCCTTGAACATTCTTGTTTGTCTCAATCTTTTCAGCAGCTTATTCCTACCCCGCACCTTGTCGGGTGGCCCCGGCAAAGTCGGCTGGCCTTCGTGAATCATATTCGCTATTTTTCCAATAAAAAACTGAAATAATTCAACTTTCGCACTTTTTCTAAAGAGAACTATAGATTTCGGTGAGAATATACTCCTATAATCTATCTACGAAGTCTTCACGGAAAATCCAAAAGCCTCACGAATAAATGTTGTTCTTTTTCAATTTTTTTTTTAAATGCCAGCAGTTTCGCCATTGTTGAACCTTAGGACCGATACAAAAGAGAATTAAAAATTTCCCTTCGAATAAACTTTCATAATCTGTTAAATATTCTATTTAAAGAAAAAAGTTTCATCTGCTCCTTTAAAAATCATCAAAATCCTTCATGAATGAAATTTTATATCACCCTATGATATAAACTCATACAATCTTCTTACAGAGGTTATTCAAAAATAATTTTTTACCCGCGCATTTAAATATCGTCAAGAATCAGCTCTTCTTATTTCCACTCAAAACCAACCAATATTTCTGTGAAGTCGGTCAGAGAACGGGGCGAACTCCGTCTCGAACTCGGTGATGATCGGATTTCCATTCTCGCCCAAGTTATCCACCTTGGTACCTGAAATCGATAAAAATTAGAGCATTTTTTCTCCAAAAACCAACCTCGAAGTGCCAGAGAATCGTGATTTACCGGGCGATGATCAGAACCACTGAGATCAGTGCTAGTTTTCATCACTTCACTGCGGATCTAGAAAAAGCTCACAAGTTTTTTTTTGTTTCCTCAAAAAACCTTGATGAAATCCTTCAGCATCATATTGACGATGGCGTTCATACGCTCGTGCATTTTTTGGAAATCGGCGGGGCCGTTTTGAGAGGGGATTCTAAAGAAAATCCCTTTGTTAGAGAAATTCCAGATTTTGTTTTTTCTAACCCAAAGGGACTTCCATCGGCCATTCCCGAGTTGACGTCGGATGGCTTGAGGAGAATCGAAGAGAATGGTCCGTTTCCGAAAAAGTCCTAAAAAGGGGATGATAAAAATTAACTTTATTCGAAAAATGTCGACTGCTCAATTTACAATCAAATCAAGCCCTAAGTTAACGGAATAAATGCAGGAATTCGGCTTTTTTTCAAAAGTCAAAATAAGCTGTTTTCTGAGGAGAATAACGCAGGGTCCGAAAATTTGAAAAATCTCATTTTTTCTATAAGCGTGTTGCTTAGAAAAGTGCGATTTTCACTTTCAGAAAGTTTGAACTTTGAATTTTTCACTTTTTGAAAAAAACTCTCCAATTCTCAAATTCTCAAAAAAATTCCTTCCATTTTTTTTTCAGATGTATTCAACATTTTTCCTGTCAATCTTCACCTCGTTCCCAGGCTCTCCGTTGCTCAAACCGAACATTTTCTCCATGCCAACGCCTTCCTCCCGTTGAACTTGGATACGTGGCTTGTCGCCGGTCAAATCCACCGACATCTCAAAAATTTTTCAGTCAATCTATTAGAGGAAAGGATCAGAACTAAGCATTTAAAAAGGGCCTAAAAAAAAGTACAATAATTTTTCATTTTTTTCTTTTTTTATTTTCCGAATTTATCGCATTAAAAAAACAGGGTAAAGCCCAAAGCGAACTTTAAAGACCTTGAAAGAAAAAGTAAAAGCTCATTTTTGAGCTCCTAAAAAGAGTGCAAAAAAAGTTTCTTCTAAGCTTTTTCTTCGCACTTTTTCAAGAGAAATAATCTTTATTTTTTTGAAATCCTTATTCATTAGAACTTCTTTTTTTCTAACATCTTTCCATCTCTTTAAAAGAATCTCTCCGATAAAAAAAGCGCTAGCAAAGGTTTTTTTCAAACTCCTACAAAGTTCCTTTTCAGGTGTTTTCGAACCTTGACCCTGCAAACTGATTCGAATTCTATGAAGGTGAGCTGAGAAGCTAATGCCATTTTTTTTGTTAAAACTAACGAAGACTCTGGTGGTGATCGGAAGGCTGCAGGCGAATCGGCACGCCTTCAGTTCAGGCTCGGTTCCGTTGGAGTAGTCGGCGGCGCAGCCTTTGTGGCAGTCGATGAAGCCGAACGGGTCGGTGGTGACCCGTTTGGCGCACCCTCTTGAGCATGCTTCCTGAACTTTTCAACTATACATAGTCGAGGTACGAAATTTTCGTTATTTTAAGAGAGAATTAACTGATTTTCTTCAAAATTTCATGCGCTGAAACTGTTTGCCCGCAGGTAGAGAACGTGAAGTTGGAAGCAAAAGAAAAGTACAAAAAAAAACCTAACCGGAACAAAAAACTGATCATACTGAGAGGAAAGGAAGATTGCGGAGTGTCCTAGAAGAAAGGTGGAACATAGAAAGCATATGAGGTGAGGGATGAAATCAAAAATTACAGAGGCTTATCTGAAATTGATAGTAAATTCTGGAGTCACTTTGAACTTTCGCGAAAGATATGGAATTTTATGAATAGATTGTCGTACAACGAATTTCTCAGACGCCGTAAAACCCTAAGAAAATATAGAATACATTCAGATTATCCAACAGAAACCTCTGTAAAAAAAAAGAACTCATAAACTGCAGCCTCTCTTTCCATTTAAGGAAACGCCAAGAAGGGCTAACAAAACTTTAGTGACCAGAGCTGCTGACCAGACCGGGACGACCCGGGGCGACCGCAGTCTCCCCGTCAGCAGCACTGTTAGTGACCACTAAAATCCTCAGAAACGTCTCAAAAGCTCGGAGGACACCTTATGCTTCCCCTCATTTTTTTTTCTTGAATTCATAGAAGCTTTCAAGAAATCGCTCAAGACAGAAAAGATGGATTGAAACAGATTAACTCTTGGGGGCTTTTAAATCCATTTTCTCAAATTGGTTTCTGATGTCATTTTGATGAATTTCAACCCTTTCAATTTTCTCAATTTTTCTGAAAATTCCAAGTTCGAAATTTTTCTTTTTAATTATAAAAAGAAACTATGCTGAGACAGGCCGGGAAAAATAAATCATACCATTCGAGAAAAATAATTCAAAGCCTTTTCGGTCACCCAGCAACATAAAAAAATTTTTTTCACAAATCCATAGAACTTTTTATTAATCAAATTTTTACAAACTTTAAGCAAACCTTCTCTTCAGCGCCACCGACAAATTTCTTGTCGCAAATTTCTTTGCAGGAAGAGAGGTCGTCCGCGAAAATCAGCGGAACGGCAAATAACAGTATAATGAATCGTTCGTAGGCCATTACTGAATACAGGACCTTCATTTATATAATATTTCTGGAAAAAAACAAAAAAAGAGGTTAAAAAAATGAAACGGTTCAGAACATGGTTCTTGAATTTGAAAACTGAATGCAAGCAGCTTTTATTCAGCGAAAAAGGAATAACAACAATAATAAAAATTAGGACCCATAACTTTATTATTCTGCGTCAGAAAATGACGAAAAGGCGCAGATATAAACAAAACTGTCAGGAACATGGTTCTCGAAGAAACCAAAAACGCAAAAATCCTTTTTTGTGCAAAATGGAACAACAAGAATAATGAAATTAGGACGCTTTCAAGGGCATTACTGTTGATAGAATTTATTCCATACATCTGTTATTCTTCTTTTGAACGAATAAAAACGAGGCAGAATTACGAAATGGCGCAGATATAAACAAAACTGTCAGGAACATGGTTCTCGAAGGAATCAAAACGGAAAAAAGCTTTTATTGAGACGAATGAAAACAATCTTCGCGTGGAGAAACAGGGACAAGAAGAAAAAATGGGAGCCGGAGACAATCGATATCTCGCAAAAATGCGGCCGCACTCCACTCACGCACAGCTGACTTTCGCATGTTTCTCGGAACATATAAACAAAATGAGATGATACTGTAGGTTATGGGTTTTTTCTCGATGGAAACCTACAATTATACTCCGCTCCCGGAGGTTGTTATCACGTTTTTTCGAGGTCGTTGAATTTTGTTTTTGTTGGAAAAGTCGGGTGATTTCAGGGTACAAAAATTTAAAAGAAAAACTATGGAAAATTTTGCTTCAAGACCTTTGATAAAATGCGCACCTGTGCTCCTTTAAAAATCCCCACAACTTAGTAAATCAAAGAGAAACCCGAAAAGTTGAGAACAACAAAATGAACTTCATCATTAACCAACAGCCGGATTCTAAGCCACTTTTAAAGTTCAATTAGAAAAAAATAAGAATTTTTTTATAAAAAAATGAGAGTTCTCAAATTAACCTAAACCTAATAATTCATTCTAAAGATCTTCTAAAGTCAGCTTCTCGTCAGTTTCCTTGTGATTTTTTATTCTGCTCTAATTTAAACTTCAAAAAACACCTAAAAACGTCAAGATGTCTTCCTAGCCATGTCTCCAACGTTCTCAATCGCTAATTTCGGATTGTCTTTGTAGAAGAGGAAATGGCCCTGAATTGCAGCCGGGGAGAGGTCGGCATTCAGAGCCAGAGCCTTTTTGACAAACTCCTCGCATAAATCTTCCGATTGGGAGATGTAGAATCGCTTGAACATCTGAAAATTTTGGGCTACTTGAAAATTGAGCGGAAATTTTGGAAAAAAAGGACTCCACTTGAGTTTTTGGTGTCAAATTACCGTCGAAGGATGGAGGAAAAATTGGCGAAAAAAAAACACAGTTTTTTGCTCCAAAAACCGAGAAATTATTCCAGCTTTCAATTTTTTGGTGGTTTCGGGCAGAATTGTGGCTTTTGATTTAAATTTTTTATGAAGTTTTTTGGAACCAGTGTGTTTTGCATCCAAAAAGATGAAAAAAAATTTACATCCTCAAGCCTACAAAAGGACAAAAATGCCGTGAGAAGCCAATTTTTTCAAATTTTCTGACATTAATCCACCCTAGGGACACAATGAAGCCTCATAGAAACAGTATCCAATTTTTCAGAATTTCCTAAACTTATTACCTTTCTGAGCATGTCAGGAGTAGCGTATCCGAAGAACTGTTTCCGGTCGACTCTGCCAGGCCTGATCAACGCCGGGTCCAGACGATCCACATAGTTGGTCGTCATGAAGGTGACTCGCTCCTCTGCACACGCCACCCCGTCAAGAGCGTTGAGTAAACCCGAGAAGGTGACTCTGGAAAACAGAGGCGATTCAAAATCCGTTTTAGAATCATGCGCCTTTAAAAGGAAACGCTTTTTTATTGCATAGAATGATAGGAATTAACAGGAGAATAGATACAAATTTTTAAAAAATTTTGAAAGAGCAGAAAGCCCACCGGCAAGAGAAAATCGGAAAATTTTCAAAACACATTCTAGGACCCCGGCCATGCGCCTTTAAATTAAGGTACCTTATCTGTTCGAAATCAGGTGAAAAAGGAGAGAAGTAGGCTTACTCCAGGCAAAAAGGGAGGTCTTTTGAGCCTTTAGGGACATTTTGAGATTTTTTTTTTCGTGGCCTTTTCAGATCTACCTTGAATAAAAAGGATCTCCATCAATTCCTATTATGGAAACTACTTTTCTTCGAGTTTCTTGTTTAATTCTTTTCAATTCCTCTCTTTAGAAAGCTACCTCGACATTCCCTGATAAGCCGGATGTTGAGCCAGGGGATCTTCTCGACTGACGAAAGCCGCGTCGATATCCTCCAAGATCAAAATACTGTTGGGAGGGGCCGTGTTGAGCAAGTGATTCAGTCTGAAATATTTTTCTAAATTCCAGAGTTCTGCACTTTCTTTTCAAGTGTTGGATTTTGACTTCAATGCTGCTGGGAAAAATTTCAAAGGCCACTATAGAGGCTAGCCAAGGACTACTTGGAGAGGACACTAAAGTGGCCACATAATCCACCTCTATAGTGACCACTAATTTTTAAACCCTATAGTGGCCATTCATTTTACTACTGTAGTGGCCACTAAAACTTCAAAACCCTACAGTGGCCACTAAAAATTTTATAGTATAGGGACCACTCTGAAGCTCCTAAGCAGGGCCGGTTTTGCAAAGTTTCTCCCAAAAAAAAGAAGAAAAACCTATCATCATCCAACGTCCTCTCGCTCAGCGAGAGCATGCAAACGCTGTACCCAAAGTGGCTGGCCAACGCCGAAATGAAGCTACTTTTCCCGGTACCCGGAGGTCCGTAGAACAAATAGCCTCGTCTGTAGGGAACGCCTCGGTCGGCGTACCTAGAGACAAAACGGGTTGAAGAGAATTCAAAAAGAAAAAGAAGGATTGAAGAAAATTCATAATTATCTCTGATTCTCCAAAATTTATTTTTTTCTTTTTCACTTTTCTCGAAATTCGCGGGACCTCTTTGAACAGGGCATACAAAAATTTTCACAGATTTTTTTTAAAAGATATTTAAATATAGCCGTCAGAAAGTGAGAAAGATATCTAAGCTTTGGAGTATCAGAGATAATTTTGAAATTTTTAGAAAAGATTTTACGCTGCATCATTTTCTTGATGAATGAAGAAGTTTGAAAATTTTTCAAACAAATATAAAAGTTTTAGGTTTTCTTTATTGCGAAATAAAGTTTACAAGTTGAATAAATTTTGAACCTAGAATTTTTTTCAGTTTTATAATCGTAGGATGACTATATTAAGCTTCGATATCACTCTCTCAAAATTTAAAATGAAGTTGAAACGTAACGTATAAGGGTTCCACAGATTTGTTCCGATAACGTCGAATTTCAGCATTTTCGAAACTTTTTTCAAAATGGGGCTACGCAATTTCTCGTTTCACTTTACTTTTTTGACGTTCGAGGATCGAAATTTCCCAAAATTTTTAGTTTTATTATTCATGAGATTCCTAGCCTTTTTTACTCAAAACCCAAGCTCTGTAAATTCTACCGAGTTTTAGTTTCGAAATAAAAGTTCTTAACTACGCCACCAAATTAAAGCTTTTTGGGAAGCTAAATAGCGTATTTTCACTCAAAATTAAAGCTCAAAGAACCAATTTTGTTACTTTGCATCCAAATCGAACCCCTTTTCTCCATTGAAAGCGAAAATTAAGAAGCTTCTAGGTCTTATTCGCATTTGAAATGCGTCGGCTATGCAGCTTGATCAGAATTCTAAGCAGAAAAGGATTCGAACCCCCAATTACCAAGCTTCAGTGGATAGGGGATTTATTATTTCATTGAAAAAAAAAACACAAAAACAGAATTTTTTTAGAAAAAAATAGATCACATCAGCGTCTTTTTATGGAAATCGGTTGTGAACATTCCTGAGGAGACAAAAACATTGAAAAGAGCAGAAATCGAAATTTCCTAGATAAAAATAGACCAAAAAGTCGAAAAAGGTCATTTTCTCGGAAATTCATAAAAAATAAACATGGTAAGCTTGAAAGGAGTTGAAATTCCATCAAAAAAAGTCGAAAAAATGGAATTTTTCGAAAAAATGATCCCACCAACGCCGTTCTATGGATTTCAGTTGTTGAAATTCCTCGAACAGATCAAAAAGTAATGAAAAAAGAGACTATAGAGTCGAAAAAAGGACATTTCTTAAAATGCGTGAGAAAAAATCTTGGAAAGAAAGAAATCTCATCATCCTGATTAAATGTCTTTTCAAATTTTCATTTTTCTCTCAAAATTTCCCACCCCTTACCATTTCGAGGAGCTGGCAAACTCTTGAAAGTCGCTGATGAGTTCTTCCCGAATAGTAGCGTCCAAAAATAACCGTTTCGATGTCCCGCTTCTTTCTGGGTACCCCAAATCGCACCCATTGCGGCCCGATGGCTTGATAAATCACAAGGCCAGTCTCGGTCTGAAATTGCAATCTCATTTTGATGTTTAATTGTTATCAAATTAAAAACTGATCAGGACTTCGATAATGATCATTTTTCTTAAGAGAGTGTCCCGAACTGCAGAAATTTAAAAAGTTCTAGTAATTTGAAATTGGGATTTTTTGGGTGTCTAAAGGAATCCAAGCTTATTTTTCAATTTTTCTAATTTTATTGCGATCGAAATTTCTGATTGAAATGGTTTATTCGTAATCCATTTAAAAAAACAGAATGTTCCAGCTTCAAAAAAAGTAAGAAGAACTTGGAGAAACTTGTTTTTTTCTGTTATCTATACGGACTTTACAAAGTTACAAAAACACTGGAAAGACTATTTCAGAAAAAAATTTCTGATTTGAAACAGTTTGTGAGTTCCGCCTGTACTTTCTAAACACCAAGGAGGCTGTTGTAAATCGAAAAAATCACATTTTCGATGGCTTCCCTAGCCGAATCGCTCAACATTTGCTTGAAGAACCCGACGTCCGAGCCCAGGGTCGTCAGTGTGACTGTTTCAAACGGAGTTCTTATCCCATCACGTTGGATGACCTGTTTCTCCCGCTGCCGCTCAATTTTTATCCATCTGAACACAAAACTTCACCTTATAGAAATTTTCCAAATACCTATAATTATGAACAAAGAAATGAGTCCCGTGGCCAGGTAAATACGATATGGACAAGGCGGTTTTGCCGCTTTCCGCCTGTTGGACGACTGTATTCACCGACAGATTCCGTGTTTGGTTCACACTTCGTCGATTGATGAAATCTAACAACCAAGGATAGGAACTAAATCAACGTCCGATATCAAAGTCGAGCCACGTACGCGTCTTCGTTGTTGATTTGTAGCGAGATCATGAACCTCCTTCTGAAAAATGTGTTCCCGATGATGGCGAACCTTCGGAAAACGCTGGCCGCCAACCCTAGAAACAAATTCATGAACTTCTTTTTTATAAAAAATGAAACCGATTCCCGCTAATCCTGCACCAGCTTTAAAATAAGGATTTTCATTCAAGTTCTCATAAACTCTGTCGAAAACTGAAGAATTCTTTTCAACGACAGCAAGAGGTGCGATTGCATCCTCAGCCATTCAGCTCAACTGAAACCTTACATAAGCGACCCAAAATAAGTCTCTATAAAAATTTAACGTGAATTTGACGCGTAGGTTTTTTTTAAATGTTGAACAGAAAACAATAAAAACAACAATACATTTATTTAAAACAGTAACAATTTTTTTGCATTACGCATCTTGCTGCTCTTTAATCTTGAGGAGAAGAGCCTTCTTGTCAGCCACGCGTTGCTTCCTCTCGTCGTAGGTAATTCGCTTAGCGTTGTAACTGAAAGTTTGGTAATTATTGAAAAACTCCAAAAATAAATCAAACCGTTTCGGCGTAACCTTCTTCTCGCTCTTCTTGGCTGGGCTAGGATCGGCACGGATGGCGGCGTGGGCTTTCTCGTAAACCTGCAAAATAACTATTAGAAAATTGAATGAATATATACAGTCAACGATAGGAAATAATCCTTTGAAAATTTTGAAGTTTAGAGAAGCCATAAATTCAAAAATATGCATTTTGGTAAAAAATTACACGTTATTAGTTCCGTGTTCAAAGTAATTTTCGCGGAACGCGAATGGTCTGACTTTCCGAAATTTAGTTATAATTTTCTTTCTCTGACGGCTATTCTTTATTTCGCAGAATCACTTGGAACACGGCATAAATTGATATTCCAACCCGAACGACAAAATGAGTGAAAAAGATTGAATTGAACTACTAATAAAAACAAAACAAAAAATGAATGAATGAATAAATTTTATTAGAAAAAAGATTAAATTATAGCGAAAAACTAACCGAAACAAGGCTGTCAGCGGAAAGTCCGGCGGCAATGAATCTGGAGAACTGACGCTTGTACGCATCTTCGTCCTCGTCCTTTAGGAGGGACATGTACTCAGCAACGTGCTTTCCGACGATGCGATCACGGTGAGCCTCGGCGTTGTATTCCTTGGATTCAGAATCGAATCCGAAGAATCGGTTCTCACTAAAGTAACAAAAAATTGAAAAATAGAGACCGTATAATTTCAACCTGTGGGGAACGTTGATTCCGCCGTCAGCGACTCCCTTCATGACGGCGAAGATCTTGGATCCGGTGGTCGTGCGAGCAAGGCCGATGTCCAAAACAGCCTTGAACGGAGCGCGGTCTCCTTCCTGCTCGACGTTGTAGTCCTCACCGTTGAGCTGAAAAGCAAAATATATACTCAAAAAGAAAGACTTTGTAAATCATACTTTTTATATGAAATGAGAAATCAGCAAATTTACCTCCTCCTGTCCCTTGTAGACGGAGTCGAGGCCAATAGCCTTCAAGTGACGGCGAGCGAGGAGAAGGCCAGTAGCGTAGGCGGCAGCATAGTTGGTCAATCCGACCTTGATGCCGTATCGCGGGAGCTCGTGGGCGTACGCAGAAGCGACAACAACGTCTCCTTCGATTTTGGAGTAAGCGATCTGAACAAACAAAATTTAAAAAAAATTTCAGAACTTCAAATTCCAATTTAAAAAAGTGTTTCAAAAAACCTGTGCAATGATGTCTTTGTTGGTGAATCGGACAATAACGCGGTGCTTGGGAGTGTTGTACTTGTTCTTGTCTTGCACAGTCAGACGCTTGCGGGCATAGTAGTCAGTCTTTCCCTCACGTCTGCGCTTCAGCTTAACCTGGTACCTCTTGAAGTAGGCCTTATTCTTCACGACCTTGACGAGACCCATGTTTCTGAACGACATAAATGATATAAAAAAATTAAAAAAACTCAGTAAAATCGAGATGAAATAAAAAAATTATTACAATTTATTTTTTTTCCACTTTAATTCCATTTTCACTTCAATATTAAATTTTCAACTCATACAGTTTATTACATCTTTTTGACAGTTTAAAAAAACGCAAAAGAGAAGACTCAGGGCTAACAATTGAGATAAAAGAAGACAGTAGAATAAGCGTTCAGGGCATAAATTCATAGAGGAATGAAAAGATTTTTCAAAAAGTCGCCATGAACTTTTTGCAGCCTTTTAAAAATCAAATTTTTTTAGGTTTCATTTGATGAATATCGCTTTTTTCAAAGTAATTCCGCGAAAGGCAGAATAACTGCCGGTGTAAAAAAATTCTGGAGTAAGAGAAAAATTTTTTTATTTGCACGATAATCTGAACATGGCAAATAACTGGAGATTTAAGCAAAAAAGAAATTGAAAAATATGAAAAAAAGATTTTCAGAATGCAACGAGTTTCATTTTATTTTTTTCAAAGTGCTCAGGCATATAAACAGATCGTTTTTTTTCTGCAAAAACTACCAATAAAAATAAGTACGTAACGTGAACACAAAGAAAATGAACAAAAAGCTTTTAAAAATATAAAAATTATTGAAATAATATGGAAGAAAATAGAAAGAATTTTAGGATTGTCGAAAAAATTTACTGATGGTGTATTCTAATTCTCACCGTCGGTCACGTACAAACTTAGATGTGCAGGCAGCGCGCGAGATTCAAAAATCAGAGGTGAACCATGGAGCGCACTTTCCAGCTACGTGTCCTATTGTGCGAAGTTTGCGAGTCTATTTCATTGAAATAAATCTAAAACAACGAATAGATATGATGTTTTTAATGTTTTAGAAGCATAATTAAGGCTCAGAAGAGATGTTAAGGAGAAGTGGCACATTGCAGTGAAGAACGCTAGTTGAAATTCCGTGGATATTAAAAAATTTCAATCAATTTTCATTGGTAGTGTGTCTCAAATACTGCTTTCTGGAATTTTAAATGCGGAAAATTCTTGCATTTAACAAAATAACTTTTAAAATTGCTCATCGCTTCGAGATTTGTTCAATGCCCCTTGAAAACTCCGACAAAGTTCGTTTTTGATTGTGATAAGTAATATGCCTCTTCTGAAACTTTCGCTGCAAGAAAAGCTAATAAACTTGAACTCCAAGGCGTCTTTCGTCACCTGGCACGTTGCTTTTTTCTCCGATACTGCCCGTAAAAGCTGACAAATATTATTGAGTCCAATCTTTCAAAAAAGCAGAGACCACGGGTTTCCGAGTTAAGGGCCGATAAAGCAGGCGTGAAAGCCATTACACAGCAGACTCTGAAAGTCTTTTCCAGATAAACCACACGACAATGGGACCCGAAACTGATAAGACGGTGTCAATTTGATGCTTTAAAAGGCGACCCTCACGAGTTGTTCGGAACACTTTCCAAGTTCCCATTGTTTTATGGCCCTCTTTTCCCACCTCTGCAATGATTTTTAAAGTATTCCTAGTCAAAGAACTATTTTTTTCTTCAGGTAATCGAGTTTAATGAGAAAAGTGACCCACGCGGGTTATCCACTCAGTGAACATCGCAAGAGTGTTTTTTCATCGTTAAATTGGAAAAGAACCGGAAATGATTTCGATAGCGCCGAGAGGAAAAATGCTCAAGTCGCTGGCTTTGTTCAGCGTACTCGGAGCCACCGTTAATTTTCAGGTCTCGATTAATTTATTGAAATGGATCCCATTTTCATTCTAGGAAGGATACGCTAACTCCTATCCCAACACGGCGTATCTCTCTTTTCAACAGCTTTTCAACGACTCTTACATACATCGCGGAGTCAAGGTGAGATAAAAAATGAATTCTGATCGAGCGAATTTTTTCTATTCGAGGTTCTTTAGTGTTGCCCTGACTTTAGCTTTTCATACCAAAAAATGCTTAGGTTTCGGAAAAATCCCCTTATTTTCTGCATTACCTCCTCGATTCGGATTCATCAAAAAACTCTCAAGAACGGCTTTTTTGAGCTGGAACGCCAGAGTCGTCCCTATAGGGGTTAGGAGAAAAATATCTTTTATCGGGGACAAAAAAATTCCCATAAAGGAGTAAAATTAATATGGTAACTCTAGGGGTCATGTTCAAAAATTGAAAAAAAAAATCAACTTGATCAATTTTCGTTTTGTTGACCCCTATAGAGGGAAGTAAAGTGGTCCCTAGAAGGAAAATTTCAAGGGCCCTCAAGGTTGTATCTACAGGGATCATTCTGGAGCTCCCAAGTGTTAAAAACATTACTTTTTAACCCAGAAGTCTTTAGAAGAGAGAAAGAGAGCGCAAACAGTCCGATTCAAGTGAATTGACAGAAATGTACAAAAATTGTTCAGAACGGTCTGTCCGAAACGCTGTTCACCTGGCTCTGGTCTCTTGCCCTGTACATTTGGTTCATCGGCTACCTTCTCGGAACTTTCCTGACGCCGCTGCTCACCGAAAGATATGGACGGAAAAGTTGATTTTCTTCAAAATAAAATTATTAAAAGGAAAACTTCAGTCTCGCTACTCGTGGCCAACCTGATAGCCGTGTGCGGCTCTTCGATCGGCTTCGTTTCGGCTGTCTGCAAGATCCCCGAACTTTTCTTCGTTTCCAGACTCGTTGCCTCGACCAGTTCCGGTCTCTCGTTTGGAAGTCTGATTCTTTTCCTACAGGTTCTTTTTTGTTTGGAATTCTATCCATTTTACCACTAGCTTGGCCAATCTCACATATAGCACGGCTGGCTCGAGTCATTGAAAAATGGGTCCTGACACGATAAAAAAGGAGACAGTAGGAAATGCCTTTTTGCGTCCGAAGCTAGCCGTGTCAGCTATCCTTCCAAAACTAATTTCATGAAAATTTAAGATTCCTTGAAGCAAGCTTCAAGCGTACAAAATTACTACAGTATTGACGTAATTTGGAGCATAGTTTGCAGGAAACAACGTCCACCGAGTACCGAGGTCTCATGTCGTTCTTCTCCGAGACCACCTTCATTCTCTGCAACGTACTTGGGATAGCTTTTGGGATGAATGCCATTTTTGGAGATAACCTACCGGTTCTTACAGGTAAGCTTGAAAAGTTGGGGGAAAACCTTGCTTTGGGACTGCGTCATAATTATTGGCACATTTTTTTTAACCGGTTTTTTCCTGTAAGCAGTAAAAATACAGTCTTCTGACAAAATTTATCAATCTTCATAAATATGAACTCGTTCTTCGGCTAACTTACCAGTCTTTTTCAGTGTCTTTTGTTCTAAAACTGTTCCAAAAGAGTTTTTTACAATAAAAGATCTGCTAATTTTTAAGGAATCGCCGTGATTCCCGCAATAATCGCAACCCTCCTGTGCATTCCTCTGAAAGAAACGCCAAAGTTCCTTCTCCTCAACAGAAACGACAGAAGCGGCGCGTTGAAATCGCTCGAGTTCTATCAAGGTTGATCCGTAAACCTTTGATTTCAATGTGGGATATTGAATTTTAGGCAACAAAGAGGACAATGATGAGATCCTCGACGAAATGCTGTTGGAAGCTCCAACGAACAAGAAGAAAGAGCCGGTTTGGAGGTCCGTCTACACGGTCCTCGTCACGCCGCACCTTCGTCACGCTTTTTTCATCGGCTGCGCAGCTTTGCAAGTAAAAAAATGGATAAAATATAGTATATTCTGACAACCAAATTTTTAAACACAGAAGAAGAAAAGCTACCGTAAGCACAGCTTTTTTCGTTTTCGCTTCGAAATATTTCAAAAAACTGAAAAGACAGGTCTTAAAGCGCAGTTTGCCAGTTTTTACGGTTCATTACTTAGAAACTCCGAAGTGGTCCTTATAGGGGTAACCTTAGGGGCCTTGGAAGGTTCTGCTTTAAGGACCGTTTCAATCCCCCCTACCAGGGGCCACTAAAGCTTGCAGAAGGGTCTCCTATAGGGGCTGTCTTTCTCTTAATCTCTATAGGGGCCACTCTGGCGTTCCAAAGAAGCGGGAGAAAAAGAAAAACGTGATAAAAAACCAATTTTCCAGTAGAAAATTTTTCCACTACAGTAGCTGATCTTATCTCCTAATTTTAGGTGATTGTCGGAATCTGGGCAATCGTCTATCTCTCAACAGACTTGCTCTCAACATTATTCACTGAGGATGAGGCCCAAATGGCTTCGTTGATCTTCATTATAGCCAACTTTTGCGCCGGACTGTGTGGAATGGCGATCGTTGAAAGGTTCGTTCAAACTTACTTTTTTAGAGTCCTCGCGAGCTTCACAACTCGACAAAAAAATGATAGAAAAATATTTTAATGTTAATTTATTTTCTTAACAAGGCAAGTTGGAAGGTTGAGAAATTGATGACTCCTAGTTAAAAATTTTCCAACATCTCCTGTTCATGTCACAAAAGAACGGAATGTAAAATAGTTCCTTACTACCTCCCCTTCCAGAGAAGATCAATTCCAGGTTCGGGCGGCGTCCCCTTGTCCTTTGGCTCGGCTCCCTGAACACCTTATCCCTGGCACTTTATGTACTGTTCGACCAGCTCGCCGCAGTTCATCACCAGTTCCGATGGGGGACCATCGCAGCGATGGTTCTTAACGGTGTTACCTATGGGTTGGTCTACCAAATTTTCAAAAATCGAAGTTTAGTACTATCAAAAAAACTTGCTGGAAAGCCTACACTTCAAAAAGTTATGAGCCGCCTATCAAATAGTGAATTCAGCGTAAACTCAAGAAAAGTAGGAAATGCCACAGTATACAGAGGTCTGGACGTTTCTGAGCAATCCTAGAGATCGCTTAAGAGTTCTGACCCTACTAAAGTGGTCTCTAGAAATGCTCCGATTCTCGTTACTAGGGTCCCAGAAGACCTGTAACCTTAAGGCGTACGGTATTTTGTCCAGACTTAAATTTGAATTTTCCAGACTTGGACTCGGCCCGATCGCCTTCTTCATCACATCGGAGCTCGTTTCCCAGCAATACCGATCCGTAGTTCAGTCCATGGTCTTCGCCGTCAACACGGCTGCCAGTTTCGCCTTCTCTTTTGCAACTCTGCCGGCTTTCGACATGTTTAAGGTAATAGAGAGGCCCAGGGATAATCTTAGGGTTCCAACATGCGTATAGGTTACGACCGAAGTTTCTTAGTTTCACAAAAAAAAAACCTTCCAGTCCTGGTCCTTCATCCCCCTGTTCATCGTGCCGTCCTGCATCTCTCTCCTGTTCCTCTACTTCAAAATGCCTGAAACGAAGGGACGGGAAGTGCACGACATTGTGGATGAGCTCTGGCGCAAGACTTCTACAAACCCCGTCGATTTTGAGGTGAAATATTTAAATTTTAATGATAAAAACAGCCTCGACAAGCTCAAGCTTATTCTCTAAATTCTTGAATTCAAGGGTTTTGCTGCCTCGTTGCCATTGGAATAATTCGACTTGAAATAAAATTATAATCGTAACTTTCACCATGGAGCACATAAGATGCCTTCTCTGGAGGCCATTTTTTTCAAACAAAATTTCTCGAATGCAAGCAAAAAGTAGATCGAAAATCTGATATTTAGAATCATTTTTCGCTTTTTCCGAGCCTTCACAACTAACAAAGCCTCCAAAAAAAATATTTTTTTGAAATGGTTCATTTGATTCCTGAAGATGATCTGTTCCTTGAGCCATAATTTTGAAACAAAAACATATTTTCAGGCCGAAACAATGACCATTTCAACTTCGAGCTCCTCTCTGGACATGAACCACAACAAAAAAAGCAACTTCACCAACATTTAGAACTTATCATTAAATACAATTGTTGACGAGACGAAAAAAATGAAATCAATGTGTTAAAACCGCACAAAAAAACGACGACACCGTATAGGAACAAACGGTTGGAAAAGACAAACATTAGGACGAGAAGTCAGGCGATCACTTCTTGGACTTGGCGGCTAAAATAACAGTTATGAATTTTTTTTAAAGTTATAAGTTGGAATCTTGAAAAATTCAACGATATGGTATAAGGCTTCAACTCAGTTTCCTCACGAAAAAAAACTTTCCGTAGGAAAATCTTAAGAACCCCAGAGTGGTCCCTAAAAGGGTTAGGAAAAAAACTGCACAAATAGAATACAAAATAGCGCTGCATAGAGGAGTAAAATTGAAGTGGTCTTTATAGGGATTCAACGTCTAACTCGTAAGCTTCAAATATAGAACCATTCAAAATGCGACCAAAAATGTTGAAATCAATGACTTGACAAAAAAAAAATCGATCGAAATAATTTCCGGCTCCCTCACCGCGGCGGTATTTTCAATAGTTTCAGGGTTTTTTTTCGACAGTTTTGAATCTCTTGGGTTACTGTAGCTCATTTGTGCTTTTCACGCAATCTCTGTGCTCTCTACCAGCCAGGCACTGTCTCTTTTCTGATCGTGTCAGGACCCTTTTTTCGATGGCTGTAGGCAGCCGTTGTAGTTGATGAATTTCCACTTCAAGGGCTATGGGTTCAGTTCCTAAAAACCTATAGAAACCACTTTGCTTTGACTCCTACAGGGACCACTTTTTCGGTCTCCATGAAGGCTGTATTCCTCTAACCCCTATAGGGAACACTCTGGAATTCCTAAGCAAGACAATTCAATCTTATTATTCGCTCTTTCTTCGACCCTATAGTGTCCCCTCAAAACCGACCATTCAGCTGAGCGCTGTAGGCAGAGAGAAGAGCCTGGGTGTTGCACGACGAGCGTCTGGTTTTCATGGGTGGATTCGGGGCGGCAGAGGCGACGTTCCAGTTGACGGCTTCAGGCTCCGCAACTTCCTGCTTCTCCTCCTCCTCTTTGGCCTCTGAAGCCTCAGTCGTACTTCTTTCTTCTTGCTCATTTTCTAGGGAAGCCGTCGACTGAACGGGCGGCGTCCAAGTGAATAGAATCTCGACGCCGTTCATCTGTTGGACCAAAATGTGGGCCGCCGTTTCTATGGCCTCTGAAAAAAATTAACTTCTTTCGAAGTTTCAAAGCTTTTACTATGTCCTTCAAAGCTGAAAGAGACTGGATCTCTACGTTACTTTTTTAAGACAAAGATTTTTCAACACCATAATAATGAGCCAATTTCACAGCACATCCGTTCAGACCTACAGGGACTCGTCCGGTTTGCACTGCGCCGCCTCCGCTGGCCATACTAGACCGTTTTCTGTCATTTTTTCTATTCAGTAAAATGAACAAGGCTATTTTCGACGGCTTTTTACTTACTAAAGACGGATTTCTCAAACAGGCCATTTCTTTAGGACTTGCTGGAGTTTGCAAAAACTTTATTGTTAGGTTAAAATTCCATCTTTATGTTATAATTGTGTCTTTCTTCAAATTCGCCTATTTTCTCGTACAAAAAACCCGTTATTAGCGAACATATCGCCCAAAAACCGCGATTGGTGTATGCACAACTTAAACCTACAGTTTGCCAAACCGGACGGGCTCAACAGATGTGACAGTAAATCGTAAATTTCTCGTCATTTGGAATATCGTACTGATTTTCTTTTGAAAATGGATCACTGTCCCCAAGTTTTACTAAATTTATTTCAATTTCATACGATGTGAGAAAAAATGTGCCTGAAGGTGTCATTTGGAGCATCGTAGCTCATCGCTTGCTGCCTCGGAAAATTTTTTTTTGAAGATGGAATTATGAGCGTCATTTGGAGTGTCGCAATTTTTTTTGGTGATTTAAAGAGATTTAATGAAACTTTTTTCTCATTCCAAGTCTTTTTGAGCAACGGTACGGTACAAAAACCTCACTCTAAACTTTTTCAAAATGTTTTTTTTTCAACTCACGCTTGAACATTAGATAGACCTCCGGCTGTCTCAAATCGATGGCCTCGATCGACTTATCAATGGCATAAATGATAGTTGGGACAATCTTCAAACAAATTATCATGCTGGGAAAAAAGGAAGAAATAATGACCCTGTATTTATTTCCAGACGCTTCCAGTGCTTCCAAGGACCTTCTGGCCAGCACTAGCTCCGTTCTTCTGGTCGCCATGACACGGTCGATCTGATGAGAAGCACATTTTGGATTAAAATCAGAAGAAAAGGGTAATACTTGTGTTTGCGGACTTTCGCTTTTAAGAGGTTCTGAAATTTCCTCTTGTCTGACTACAGGTTCCACCGAGATTGACCTTTCTCGCTGAATTCAAGACACTGTTTATATGAAAAATTAATTTAGTTTTCAACTTCAATAGAAAATGCGCTCCAGAGATACATTCCAAGTAATTTTCTCTTGAGGGGTTTTTCAGCTGATCATCAAAAAAACCGAACAAAAAAAAAATGTTTTTTTCGAACTTTTGCTCATTCCTGTTGGAGATATGCGCTCTAACTGACGAAATTCCTTTTTTTCTAGGGCAAAAATCAAAACTGCATAACGGTTTCTCAATATTCAGAGCAGGAAACCTTCCAAAATGTGAAAAATGCTTCAAATTAAACAAAAATTCACACTTTTTGAAGGCTCTCATTTTATAATTTCTGAGAGTTTCAACCTTTTTTTCTTCATGATGATTTTCCATTTTAAAAAAATTTTTTTATTTCTGATTTTTTTGAAGGTCAAAAAAATTTTTCAAACTCATCCTTGGAACTCCAGGGTGGTCCCTATAGGGGCAACCACGGGCCCTAGGTAGGTCCCCTCTAACGACCACTTTAGCAACTCCTATAGGGACCCCTAAAGCTTGCAAAAGTGATCCCTATATGGGACATACTGATCGATAACTATTATGAACTCTAAGCGGTGAAGCATTTCACTGCGAAAAACTGAAAAAATAACCTTTTTAAATAAAATTGAACGACCCTATAGGTACCACTTGAGCTTTAAGGGCTACGGGTTCAAACCTCATCCCTCTATAGGGGCTGTTTTTCCCCCTGATCTCCATAAAGACCGCTCTAAAAATTCCTAAAATGTTCAAATATCTTAACAACGAGAAAAAAATTTCTTCCATTTCTCATCTTTTTGAAAAAAATTTTCATTTTATCAAAAAGAAACCTCGCTATCTCGTCGACCATCAGCACTAACAGCACAGCCACTATCCGGTGAGTTGGCGCCATTTTCTTCAAAAAATCTCGATTTCTCCAATTAATTCGGGAAATACCATAAGATTGATTCAAATCGAGAATTCTAGTCGATTTTGTTGGTGGCGCCGCAGATTCAACGGATAACCTTCTTTTACTGGATCTGGTTCCTAAAATAAATTTTGGAGGTCATCAAAAATTGCTTGAAAAACTAATGTGAGGCTCCTCCTCTTTTTCGACCTTGACTTGCACCGACACGTGGGCGAGCATCTTTTTCCGGGCCGCAGCTTCAAATGTTTAAAAATTATTTTTTTAAACTTTGATAATTCAAAAAAATAATGATAAGGACTCTCCAGAAGATTTTGAGAGGTTCAAAAAAATCCTCAAAGGTCTCAAGGCGAAAAATATTGTTTTATTTAATTACGTATAATGCAAAATTTCTTACTTTTTGATGAATTCCGTGAAAAATAAACGGGTGAAACTTACCAATTTTCTCAAAAATCGTTTCCGTATCAGCGTCCTTCTTCTCCTTAATATATTCGACAACGTTTTTGAATTCTTCCTGTGGCAAAGCCATGTCTCTGCCTTTGACAGTATAACGCTCAATGGCGTTTCTGAAAAAACTTAAAATTTTTAGAGGGGTCGCTATAGGGGTTAAGGGGAAAAACAGACCCTATAGGAACTGAAAAAGGGTTCCCTATAGAGGTAAAATCAAAGGGATTCCTATAGGGGTTTAGGGTCTGACCTCTTAGCGCCTAAAGCTTAAGCGGTCCCTATAGGGGTCGTTCACCTTTTATCAAACTTTATTTATTTAAAATGAAAACTTTCTTTTTCTAAAGTTTCCAACTCAAACTAGCACAATTTTTCGCCCAATACCATTTACAGATTTTTATCCTTCGCCTTTAAAAGTTCCAAACATCCAAACCGACTCACTTCAATTCTTTCAGAAGCTCAAGAATACGACTTTTCTCCGAAAAATTCATATCGCCAATCACCTTCAAATCTTCTAAAAATAAAATTTTCATTCGAAAAAAGAAAAACCAAAAATCACCCTCAATTTTCTCGGCAACTGTCATCGGAGCATCGGAAAACCTGCGGACGACATCTTTTCGGAATTCTTCGGAACGGGAGTTTCTATTTTTCACTGGAACTATTCCAGATGTATTGATCCTCTGCGCCGTCACCAAGTCGATTCGCTTGATTTCCTCTGAAGTTTTTCGGAATTTATTTTACTTCGAATGCAAGAAGTTATTCTTGTAGTAGTCGTTCTCCTAAGTGAAAAAAATTTTTCAAAAATCTACATTTTTTTCAAAGATTCTTCCTTATTTGTTTAAACGCGCATAGGAGAGAATCAAGGCAAAAAAAAACGCCAAAAACCCCATTGTTCATGCTCCTTTGAAAGCCCAAAAACAAAGAGTTTTGAAAAACTTCAATTCAAAAAAAAAAATTTAGAAATGCGTTTGAAGAATACCCAAAATATCGAAATCAAAATAAGAACCCCTTCGCGAATAATAGAGTTCGATCGGCGGAACTGGCTCGCCTGCGATGACTTCGTTGCAAACGCCCGCCAGCCATTTTGTACCCTGAGATAGAAAATATAATCATCAAAATAATAAAGTTCAAAATGTCCTGAAAAAACTATCTTAGTAGCGTATATATATGCCTTTCCGTTGAGGATTTCCTTTCAAGGAATAAAAATATTTTTGAAACAAAAAAAGAGAAAATATGAAGTTTTTTTTTTCAGTTTTACAAAAACTTAAAAAACGCTGCTGAATCTCGTCTGTACAAGAAAAACCGATATAAAACCAACATCTAAAATCGCCTTGATGCTGTTTTCGACTTTTCCCGCACGTCGATTCACCTTGTCGCCAGTAAGGCTTAAAATCTCCATTTTATTCAAGATCTCCCTAATAAACTAACGCTTCCAGACGTTCGTTCCAATATTTTTGGATGCATTCGTAGCGAAACATTTCGTTTGTCCAGAATTCAAGGTTCGTATACCTAAAGAAAAAAAAACCAAAAATTAAATAAAAAAAGAGCGAGTTGAAGGCTGACCCTTTGGGAACGCTGTACTGTTCCGACACCTTCATATTTCCCGTGAATGGGAAAATTTTCTGCGAAACGTCATCCAGATAACTGCGCGTAGAGGTCACTTCAACCTAATAAGCTTAAACAGATGATCAACTACTTTGAAAGTCAAAACCTTCCGGCAGCTTTCCGTGAAAACAATGGTGTCGCATTGATGGCCTCTCGACTCTTCGTAGACGAAACGATAAGATTTTTTTGACATACCTTGGAACAGTAAGTTCTCAGGCAATCAAATTCTTTGATGCAGAATAAAGAGAATACAGCAGAACTTTTTCGGACCGGAAAATTTTCTCGAAAAACCATTGGTCAAAATTAAATTAATTTGACCTACTTTTCGTAACTTCTGCTGTTTTGTTCGCATACATCAAAAAAGACGCGCAAAAAGAGCGTAAAAATTGAATTTTTTCTATTAAAATTGTAATTTTTCGTGCAATGAATCTGTTGTATTCTTCGAATATTTTGTAAAAAAATTTCTATAAATTTATTAATCTCTTTCGAAAAAAGAACAAATAACCGTTATAATCGACACCGATGAGTTAATTTAACAATCAGAAACAACAGAAAATATTCCTACTAGAAAAATGAAACAAGAAAACGAACAAGACGAGTTAAATATGTGTGGGAAAATGATAGGCATTGACAGAAACGTGTTTGATTTTTATGGCAGGGTAAAAACCTACACTTTTCATCTTTTCTCCGTTGAGAATTGTGAAACTAGTTTGAACTATTCGAAAAAGAATTTTCATTTAAATAGCCAGAAGGTTCAATGATCCATAGAACGATATAATTTGAGAGAAGATATTTCAAAAAGAAAAAGCTTATTACAACAACTGATCAACACTTCAACCATTATAAAGAATGAAAAAAAGGAGATTTTGAGAGATTATTCTCTATCAATCCTCCTGCCTTTCTTGTTCTTGGGAACAGATTCAGGCTTTCTATTAACGAGCAAAGTGCCGTGGCCGGTCAAACGGATGTGTTCAAAAGAGCTTGGTCCGGCTCTCGAAGACCTCCTTGCAGCGGTCGCATCGGCCTGTCTTCGGTTCTGTCCTCACAGGCTCGGCTTCCGTTTCTTCTTTGGAAGCAGCCGGATTCGACTTGTCAGCTAAAATAGGATATAATTAGACTTTCTGATTTTTAATTGTTTTCGTTTTGTTGCTTACTAGAATAATTGGTTTTACGGGGAATTTTATTTTCCTCGAATATTACCCACCTCTTCTCCTTTTCTTCTTCTCCTTCTGTTCCACCGGAGGCTCGGGCTCAACCGTGTCAGCCACTTCCAGTCGTTCCAACTGCTCTTCCACTTGTTCGACAGCATTTTCCGTCTTCTTTTCCTCCTCCAGAGTCTCATCAGCCTCTTCTGGATTCTCATCATCGTCTCCAAAAATGTTGGATTTCTTTTTTCGATCCCTTCGCTTATTTTTGCCCTTCTTCGCCGGTTTCTCTTCTTCTTCTGCTACTTCTTCAGTCGCTGAAAACGAGGATCAAATTCAAAATGAGAGAAAAAAGTCACCGAAAAGGGCGGCGTCTTCATCTCTCATGTGTTTTCTCAAGTCGGCTAGCTGCTTTTTGTGCTGTTTCGATTTCTCGTGGTTGTTTTTAGCGTTTCTGGAAGTGAATCGACTTGTTCAACTTTTTAGAATGATAACAGGCTTATAAGAATGGGGCACCTCCTATTATGCTCTGTTTTTCTCTGCGCCCTCCTCGTTTCTCGATGACCCTCTCCAACGTGCTATTTCCAGGCTCATCTGACTTTGCCGGTGAGGGACAAGAGAGACGCAGACACTCGAAGTTTTTGGGGTCATATTATATTTACTAGGTTCTCATAATCGTTCCAAAATTTCTGGATTTTTCTCTCGTCCCTGTTGATTATGACCAAACGCGAACACTAAAAATAATCTATAAACACTTGAGTGATCACTCAGAAACCCGTAGAACTGTGCGAAAGACGTTAGGAACACCTGAGCCTGCCCATCATCTTTTTCAAAAGAGAAAAAAAGGTATGAAATGAAATAAAAATAATACCGAAATATTTTCATCAAATTTTCTGAATGAAAACGTACTATAATCTTAACTTTTAATTGAATTTCGTATAAAACCCACGCCGTCTTGAAAAACTTGTTGCAGACGATACACTGAAGGCCATCGTCTTCTTCATTTTCGGGTTCGCTACAACTTTCTCCAAAATCTTCGGCCAATTGCTTGGAAAGCTCTTCCAAGTGAGCTTGTCGTTCTGCGGCCGCATTTTCGTCCTCCATATATTCTTCCATTTCTCTGAAACATTTTTTAATCAACGATATCTTTATGGAATTGCATGAGAATATTTCAAATGGTCAAGGTTTCAGAAACAAAAAATTCAGAACAAGGATGACTTAAAAACTTAAAAAGGTATTTCAATGATCAATTTGAAAAATTAAAATGCAAACCTCTGATTTTTAAGAATTTGCTGACGGCGATTTTCTTGTTGCTTTTTCTTAGCCTCAAGTTGCCTCAGCTCCAGAATCTCTCGGTATTTCTTCACTCGAGGGTCTCTCTTTCTAATGAAACCCACTAATTCCTAAAAAATTGACATTCAAGAGATGAATTTGAGATTTGAAGGAGTTTACCTTGACTTGTTCGCTTCTTTCGGCTCTACAAGCGTCTCGAATCTTCTTATTTTCCGGCTTCCATTTGCCTTATGACGTAGCGATTTGGAGCTTGTCGGATATCATATTTATCCATCCAGGCGTAAGATCGAGCCGTGCTGAAGGAGGACCAGAAACCGTAGAAAGGCCCAACAACCTCAAAAAATAAACCAATAGTTCAGAAAAATCAGAAAAAGTTACTTTGTCGTAATCGCTTTCAGAATTTCCAAACGATGGGTACCGAGTTTCAGAACTGTCGATGAAATCGTAGTCTTCAGCAGCCAAAGTGTCAAAAACTTTTCTATAAACTGAGAAGAAACCCTGAAATTCTTCAAATCAACTAGTTCTTATAAAACATTATAAACCTTCTCATCGTCGTTTAAACCACTGTAACATGAAACTGTAAAGTACTTGAAAAAGGTCGATAACCTCTTCTTTATACTCTCCATCATATCCTGAAAACTTTTCATTCAGAAATACATACTTCCAACTTTAAAAACCTCCTTTCAAGAAGCTTTCTCTATGCCGGTCATAAAATGCGCGTTCATGAGGATCGCTCAAAACTTCATAAGCTTGTTGGAGTAAAGCAAAATACTCCGTGCATTCTTGGACCTTATCAGGATTTTTATCGGGATGCCATTTTAAAGCAAGTTTCCTAAAAAAGTTATGTAGAACTGAAAAATGACCAAAAAAACCTGTAGGATTTCTTGATTTCGTCATCGTCCGCATTCCTAGCTATTTCGAGCACCTCGTAATGACACCTCATCACAGAAAAATATGATAAAAATAAAAAAAAATTTGCAAAAAGCAAAAAAAAAATTTGGAGGAAATGGAGAGCAAATGCGCTCTATCAAACTTTTAAGGGAGTACTTGAGAGGTTTGAAACCCCTTTAGTGACTTTGAAGAGTTTTTTTACGCCGCAACCTTTTATCGCTCGGAACTTTAAATATTTTCCATGAGTTTGTGCTTTATATGAGATTTCCAGCTTCCCAGCCATCAAATTTTGTTTTTTTCAATTCCGGTCCGCAGGCTCTTGGTCCTTCAGTTATTTATGGGAATGTTGTACGTTTTTGTATCTCCATTTCTTTTAAATTCAACGCTTTTAGTGTATGTCGTACCTTGCACAAAATGCGATTGGTTCACAGTTCATCGCAGAAAGGTAATTGATCGATCTTCCTAGTGATGTCCTTGAAGATAACAGCCCATTCGGCGGTAGTTTTTTGCGGTTGCAGTGTACCTGAACCGTTACTAATTGTAGAAGTTTGGTCTAAATTGAATAACTTCTTCAGATTTGTTTGTGCGTGCCTTAATAATAGATCTTTCTACTCTTTTTTCCCAGACGTGTTTCCGGTATTTGCTCACGTATCCTTTTCTCACAGCCTTATATTCTTTCGGCGTATACTTTTTCTTGTTTTTGCTTTCTGGTTTCTATGAGTGCAGTTGAAATCTCTGAAATTAAGCTCTTAAAAGAAAGGTAGCAAGCCTTTTTATTTCGAAGCTGGCCAAGAATTGGACAAATGTAGTAGCCTTTAATAGCGTTTTTTAACTTTGAAATGTATTTTTTCGAATAATGGGAATTTTCGCAGTTGAATACTATCATAATGCTTATCTAGCGTTTCAAAAAGCTCGATTTTTAGATAATTCCAAACAAAAAGCTAATTTTCAATTCTTGTGGGTCCAATAAAAAAGAAAGTTTCCACGCAATTTTCAACAGTCTGAACTCTTTCAAGAACCAAGAAAAACAAGTTTTGCTTTTTATCGCCGATCAATACATTGCATGTCGGTTCATCGGCTACTAACACGCGTGTCCGATAACATTTTCCGACAAATTTGTTTCATTTTCAAGTTTTGTACCCTGTTTTTTTAGCAATGTCCCGCGGAAAGGTGATCGTCTACGGCGGGAAGGGCGCTCTCGGTTCCACTATTTTGGAACATTTCAAAAGAAAAACGACTTTGTGGGTCATTCTTTGAACATACTCCATTCGTCGCAGGCTTGGGGATTCTTTTGAAATTCTCCTTTTTTATACTTTTTTTTTGACTGAAGATTTTCTTGAATGTAATTTCAAGCCAGCGGTGACTGAACTATAAGCTCGCAAGTTCACATCAAAAAAAAAAAAAAATGCAAATTTACATTTTCAAGTGGGTGCTGAACATCGATCTGAGCACCAACGACCACGCGGACGGAAATATCCTGGTCAGCGGGGATTCCTGGACCGAACAGGAGAAAACCATCACCGCAGAGTGGGTTTTGGTCCGCTTAAATCATCAAAAAAAGAAAGGTCCAAGCGGAAGTCTCGAGATAAAATATTGACGTCGAAAATCTCCTTCGGGAGAAAAACCTGATCTTTTAAGCGCAAACGTGTCCCGATTTGGAATAAATCAAAAAGAATGAGTGATGATTCAATGGCAATCCATCTTTCGTCACCTTCGTTTATAAATAAGTTGATTTTCGAGGAAATTAGATTGAAATGATGAGACTGAAGATAGTTATAGTTGAAAAAAATGGACTTATAGAAATTGTAATACCGTACGTGACTGGCGGCGCTTGCGGGACAATTTCGATTTTTTTAAAAATTAAACCCTAAAGAGGCGGTAAAACCGCTTGAAAAACTTAGAATCGTCTGAAAAGAGAGGTCGTTGTACTTTCCGCTTGGAATTTTCAACCTGCAAAACTTCCTCGTTTTTTAGAAAAAACGCCTCTAAGGCAAAGAAAATCCTCAAAATCTATTATTTTGGGCTTTGAGGCCCTTATTTCTCGTAGAATAGAAAATTTGGAAGGTTGGGAAGAATTTTTTGAAAGCTCAGTTTCATGAAGCTTTCCGCATGTAGTGTTTTGATAAAAGGTACTGTATAAAATTGAAAATTATTGTCCTTTTTTTGAAATTCTAACTGTTTCTCTCTCTTCCAGGGCAGAGAAGCATCTGTCCGCTGCTAGTGTCGATGGAATTTTCTGTGTTGCCGGCGGCTGGGCGGGCGGATCGGCCTCATCCAAGGACTTCATCAAGAATGCCGAGCTAATGTGGTCGCAGTCGGTGGGACCACGGGAACAGACTTTGTGGAAAAAGTGATGTTTTGAGGTGTGGAGCAGCTCGATCGCGGCGAAACTCGCCTCACTCTACCTGAAGCCAAATGGGGTGCTCCAGCTCACCGGCGCTGCTGCGGTTCGTTCTCAGACTTGCTTCTCATTTGAAAAAGTTTGACTTCTCTGCAAGGTTCCGTATCAGGAACTTCAGAGTGGTCCCTGAGGTCCACCTCTAGGGAGCAATTAACCTCCCCCTATAGGGTTCGCTAAAACTCGCAAAAGTGGCCCCATTAGGGAACATATTGATCGATTATTGTTAAGAGATTTGTGAGAAGAAGAAAACTTGAAAAATTAGCTTTATTTTAATGCAAAGTAGTTTTCGAATATGTGCTCAAACCTTGGTAACGCGCCCCGAATATGTCGGAACGTTTCTAGTGGCCACTTTAGTAGCGTCAGCACTCTTAAGTGATCCCTAGAATTGCTCAAGGACGTCCGGTGGTCCGACTTTCTTTCAAATTTCGACAAGAAAAATAAAAGACCCCTATAATCACCTGAATTTCGTCCCTATGAAAGGCTTTTAATGTCCCATGAAGAGACTGTTTTTCCCCTAACTCCTGTAGGGACCACTCTGGCGTTTCTAAGTTGGCGTAGTACAAATTACAGGTTTTTTTTCCCTCTCCTAACTTTAGATTTCAACAACTGAATTAAAAATCTCAATTAAGTATTTGTAGGCCACTGACGGCACTCCTGGAATGATTGGTTACGGAATGGCCAAGGCGGCGGTTCACCAACTGACCAAGTCGCTCGGCGCCAAGGACAGCGGCCTGCCAGAAGAGGCGAGTGTCTTGGCCTTGCTGCCAGTCACTTTGGACACGCCGATGAACAGAAAGTGGATGCCCAAGGCGGATCATTCAACGTAAGTTATTGTGGTGGATTTCTGAAGCTATTTTTTTCATCGTCTATCAAAATTGGTTCAAAAAATATCATTGAGTATCGAGAGAATAAGGAAAAATGTTTAAAATATTCAAACTCTAGTTTTTTCGCCTTTTTTCCTTGGAGCGTACTTGCTCCTACAAAATCGGAATGGTGGATAATGGCCGCAGAAAGGCATGTAAAAGAGTCCCTTCATTCCCATTTTTGCTGGGATTTTGAAGGCTCGAGAAATGGTGGAGAAAGGGAGAGGCAGCAAAATGGTGCATAAAAGCCGATGAAATGGCGCAAAAAGGCATCAAATAAGGAACCTTTTTCCCTCTAAACAGGAAGTTTCTATGGAGCCTTTTTCCACCCTTCTCAAACTTTGCCTATGTTGGAATTTGACAAATTAGCCTTTAAAAATAGCCGCAAGAAAAGATCATGATCACAAAAAAAGCCGAGAAAAAATGATCCGGAAAGGAGACGAATATAAATAAAGAAGCACAGACTACAGTCTAGTTTTAGGTCATACAAGACCTTTGCGCCTTTAAACTTCCCAGTAATGACTTCCAAAAAATAAATTTCGCACAACTTCTTGGAATTTTACAGATGGACCCCAATGAGCTTCATCGCTGAAACTCTCCACAAATGGACAACGGAGCCAGGTTGTCGACCAGCCACCGGAAGTCTTCTCAAACTAACCACCGCCGACAACGAAACCATCATCGATCCCCAATAAATCAATAACTCTTCTGTAAATTAGTTGAAAACCTTTCTTCTTGTCATTATATACCATTCCATTCCATGTGACTGTTTACGGCTTGTTAATCAATAAATTCCAAGTTTAGTTTGATCTTTCCGACCGTGTGAACGTGCGATTTCCAACATAGAGATGGCATCTCGGCACGTAGGCCAAACCCTGTTCTCCTGCACCTTTGTTCAAATTCATTTCAATACGAATACGTATCAATCCGTTTTTGGGAATGATCTTAATTCGCAGGAATTCCTGGTGACCTTTTCGGGATTACTGTACTCTTTGAGGCTAAAAATCAGTTTTAGGAAGAATTTTTCACGTTAGAGAATAGTGTGAATGGAGAGAGCTCCAGACACGTTTTTTCTTTCTCAGTTTTCAGTTCCCCTTAGCTGGAGGTTCATTTGGAGCTGCCAAAGGAGCTGAAATTAGAGAGTATGGTGAATGAAGAGAGTTTATTTACTTTTTTCTCTGCTGTTTTCTCAATTTTCAGCTTAAAAAAATTTCCTTCTTCATAGTCGCGAGTCTGCTGTCAAATTCGGTAGACGGATGAAAAAAAAATTTAAATTTTAGAGAGTATGCCCAAATAAGAGGGTCCCAGAGACGAGCTGCGATTTATTTCTCTGTCACCCTCCAAAATATCCTTAGTCTATAGACTATAGTTTAAGCTCTTTTTTGACACAGCTTTCTCCCAATAACTGAAGAAAATTTAGAGGAGGAAAAAAGATAGAAAGACTCCTGTAACGTAAATCGAGATATCCTAGGGATCACTTAAGGGTGCTGAAGCCGCTAAAGTGATTACTAGAAATGCGTACTTGTCCGGTTTGTTTTACCGAGTTTCTATAATATCTAATATCTGATCTAATTTGATATTTTGATTATTATATTATAAAGCGAAAGACAAATATCTCAAATATCAAAGACGCAAGGCTGCTTTAAAAAAATGGTCTTGACAGGAAAAAAACAGTGAAAGGTCTACAGTAACCTTGCATTTCCATCCTCGATCCGAAGTTCATTTTTTGCCTCTATCCATCATCGCCAGACAAAGGAAAAGGTCGTTAAATAATTACAACGAAAAAATCCGATAATTGTTGGTCTTATTGACCGCTACATATTTTCACTTGACGCATCAAATAATAATGATCATAATTTGCATTAGGAGTTGACCGAAGGCGAAAGTGCGGACGTGTGTAATTCTCCTGCGGAACGGGAACACATTTGCAGGCTTTTTGGTGGCGGTCAGTTTGGGCTAATTCGATCATCCGCTTGGCACCGGGCCGCAACATTTCCTCTCTCTTTCTCAAATGTCCGTGTCCATCTCGGAGGAAATGATGATACTTTGGACTGGGCCGTTATTATACCGGGTTACGGTAGCTGAGTTTTATAGCTTGCGGAAAAATTCAGGACAGTAGCTAAAAAATCAGAAATTTTTCGAAGGAAGGGCCGCTAAAGCCAATTGAAAGATTGCTGTGGTTTAAGAAACGTCCATCTCATTGAAAAATGTTAATATTTCCGGTAAGGCTTCAAGATAACAATTAAAAGACGCTAACACCCGTTAAATGATCGCTAGACGGCTGAAAATCGTCCAAAACGCTGCTCGAGAAAGGAAAAATCCAAAAATATCGAAAAAAACGAACATAAAAACTATCAAACTTCAAATCACCTAACAAGATTAGCGAGAAGAGGTCACCCTACAGCAATTTTTGTGTTTTAGTCAAGCAAGATGAACAAAAAGTACACAAAAGGTTAAAAAAAAGATCCTGACACGATTTAGGGCAGAAGAAGAGGATTCTACGGTTATCTGCGCATTGTCCTTTTTTTAGGGTTCAAGAAAAACGGAGCGAAAAAAGCCGCTAAAAATTTGAATTTTTTCGTTCCTTTTTTGGAAACTTCCTCGTAGTTTGTGACAAATTAAGTATATATCAAAGAACCCATAAAAGAGGTTGCAAACTGGTATCGACAATCCTATTACGAGGATGACGTCTAGACCGCCCCAAACATTAACTAACTATAATGTGATAATGGTTTATGCATGTCTCAGTAAAACTGGACCAGTGGAGAAAAAATTGTAGAAATCGGAGTACTTCAAACTTGAAAATTTGCGAAAAACTTCAAAAAAACAATCGACAAAAATAGATGAGCGCGTGAGGTCCGGTGTTTTTGTGTGTACACTTACCATTAAACTGTACGGTATACATTATAACCGACGCGCAACGAAAAGTATAGATAAGCGCGTGAGGTCTAGTGTTTTGTGTGCACACTTATCAATAAAACTGCATTGTTCCCATTATAACTGACGCGCATCAAAGAATAGTTAAGCGCGTGAGTTCTGGTGTTTTGGTGTGCACACATACCAATAAAACTGCACATTGCACATTATAACCGACGCGCGTAGCTTTTTTAAATGTTTTGATACACATTTTTTTGTATAGAAGCACGAAAAAGTAGGTGTTTTTCTATCGTTATTGTGATTGACATACCACTCAGCTACATGACATTTGAAAATTTCGCCCAATTTTTTTGCGTTCCCACGTTTTGAAACGCGTCACGGGTGCGGTTGCTTCAAAGTGGCGCCGGCCAGCTTGTGTATAAAAGCGGCTTGTGGATGAAACGCCTTTCGCGCGCCCTACCGTAGTCGAGATTTTGACCGCCGCCGCCGCCTCTCTCGTTTTGGCCGCAGGTTGACCGCGGACATGTCCTCGAGGCCCTTACTTCCAACTTTAGTTGCTTTTGCTTGTATTTTTGCTGCGCAAGGTAAGAACTTTATTGAAATTATCGAAATTTGATTTCCTATCTTTCTTAAATTTTTGGTGCTCTGAGCCCTCTCTTCTGTTTTAATGTAGTTTTTTTTTGGTTTCTTTTTTTCATTTTTTAAGTCCGAAACAATCTTCGCTGTGCTTATTCAGCCTCTAGACCTTTTAACTATTTTCAAAAAAACGATTTTGTACAGTCACTTCCTTGTTTCATTTTTTCGACATCAAGAATTTTCAAATATCTTTAAATTTTTATGATAAACTTGCTTTGTAGCATTTGTACTATTCAGTATTTATTTCTTTTTTTTTCAGAGTGATAAGATCCTCTTTATTTTTATTTTCAAGCTCCCAAACTCGTTTGTGATTTTTGCGCCTTTTTCTTGAAGGAATTTTCACATTTTTTTAAAAAAATTTAAAAATAATTTTTTTCGATTTTACCGCGAAAAATAAGGTCACTGTTTGTTACTTAATCTTCATAGAAATGGTTTTTAATATTGATAAGTGAAGTTTTTTTACTTCTTCAGTTATTTAATCGAAAGAGGAATATTTAAATAATTCGAATAATTTTCATGAGATTTTCTAGTTCAAAAATATTCCAACCACTATTAAAAAAATATTTTTTTTTAGTGGAAAAATTAACGAAAAAAACTTTTTTTCTAGTGTTTTAGTCTCAAAAAAATTTCAAATATTATAATCTCCAACTGCATTTTGATAATTTTCAGTTTCTTCGAATCAAAATGATCAACCGGCCGTTATTTCCAATGTTGCAGTTAAACGTGGTCGACATTTGGAGGTGGGGTTTCATTTCTACAGGAGGGAAAAATGGAGATAATGAGTATTCTGGAGAGTGATTAGAGAAATAAATTAATAAATATGTGTCTGGCACTCTCTTCCTTGAACCTTGACTTTTGGGAAATTTCATCGAGTTTTTTTTTATTTATTCATAATTAGCTTCAAGCTGAAGACTATTACTATTACTGATAACGTGTCTGGGACCCTCTCCATTCAGCACACTGTCTAGCTTCGCCTCTATATCCTTGTAAATGCGTTGATTTCACGTCTCATTAGCAAACTCTGTACCTTACACGTGTTTTCGGGGCTTTTCGACGTCCAAATTCTCCTTTGTCTCGCCGCCTTTGTTTCATTCTTTTTTTTGGCCTTCTGTTCGCTCCGATTTAGGAAGATTGATCCTTATCCGAATCGATGGGTCTCGCATGCTTTCTTGATAGATACCATCGCTTAAAAACGCGTTGGTCAAGCAAAAAGGAATTTTGAGGTTTATGAGAAGTATGAGAACTTCGCACCGATTCCACAGATTAGAGCCATTTTCGGAATTTTTATTTCAGAAGGGAGGTAATTTTTCTTTGGCTGGGATTTCCTGAGAATTGGCCAGAACACTTCTTGATTCTCCAAAATAAGATTCTGAGAGTCTCAACCTGCACAACTTCCTAGTAGAAAAATAAGGGGTCAAAGCCTAAAAATGGCCTATTTTACAGAAAGCTTTCTTTGACTTTTTTAAAAATCTAGGAAGTTTAGGACTCTCAGAAAGTTTAGCTGGTACATCAAGGAGTGCTCTGGCGAATTTTTCAGAAAATTCTGAACCGCAAACTAAAATGATTTCCCGTGTTAGACATTTTTTTATTATTATTTTTTTTTGAATTTAGAATCGTCTCTTCATGCTTACAACTCTTCACAAAGCTTGCTAGTGAAAAAAACAAGGGAAACAAAAATTTGAATCTTTTTTTCATAAGACCAGAGAAAGAAAAACCATAAGCTTTTTACATCTGGAAAAACAGAATTTTTTTCATTAAAATGCCCTTTTTAAGATTCATTTCTCAGATTTCTGAGACGGAACTCAAAGAGCTAACACAGATAAAAAAATTCTACTTAAACATTTTTTTATCGGAAAAAAACTCAATATTTTTTTATTTTTTTACACGATTTTTTTCGTCGAGTTATAAGTCTTTCGGAGCAAAATCTAGCTGTTGGAAGTTTTTTCCGCCTTTTCAAATGAAAACCTCAATTCCAGGGATATTATGGAGATATTTTCGAGTTTTTCGGGCTTCATTCATTTTTGAAAATTCTAATTCTCTCTCGACAAGCTGAACACTACCGTAATGACCAAAAAAGAAAGTCTAATCTTGAAATTTGTGAAAAATGATTTTCGGCGTCTTCACTAAGGTCCATAAATTTAACCCGACGACGCGGAAATAGTTTCAATATGGCGCTTTTTTTCCCATCGACACATTTAGATCGCGAGATAGACCGATTAATAAAGGTGGAGACCAACGGGTTCAGTTTCATCCGATAAGCCAGTTTTCGAAACGATTTTCTCGCCACTGAGTGTATGTAGTATGATCATGAGGCTCAGAAAAAAAATGAAGTACTTTTTTCCGAAATGAAAATTTAGGTAAATCAGTAGTACTTTCTTGGAGTTGTGCAACTGGTTTTCACAGTTTTTTTTTGGCTTCTTTTCTCGATAGATTTTAGTGTCAAATTCTATACCAAAAATCAAAATTTCAAGTAAATGAACTTATTCTAAACAGTCTGTTTCGAAAAAAACTCCAACGAATGATTTTTTTGATACAGCTAGGAGAAATGGGTAGATATGGACTCGAAAGTATATGAAAAAAAGATTTTTTTCTTCTGAAAAATTGATTTTGGAATGAAAAAAATTAATCACTTTGTAAGTATTGTATCAATGGGGACAATATTATCAGAAGGTCATTTTTTGCCGTTGAAAATAATCTTCTATTGTTTTTCCTCCTTGGAAGGTCACTAGGAGTTTCCTTTTTTGGAAAGAAAGATCGAAAAATGGATCATTCGATCAAAAAAATTGCTTTTTATGTGGTTGAAAATGGACATTTTTTGCTTCTTTCCTCATAAAAACTTTCAAAAAATCGATCATTTGATAAGTTTTAAAAAAGGCAATTTTTATGCGATTGAAAGTAGACATTTACTTCTTCTCCACCTTTGAGGGTCATTAAAAGTTTTCTTTTTCAGAAAGACGCATCATTTTATAAAAAAAATCCATTTTAATGCGGTAAAAATGGACGTTCTTTGCTTCTCCTCCCATCAAAAAGATTTAAAAGATCGAAAGATGGATCATTTGATAAGTCTTATAAAAGTCCATTTCCATGAAATCTGCTTCTCCTCCCAAAACCACTTTCAAAAGACGGATCGAAAGATGGAGTGATTAATAAAGGAGTCAACCAACGGGTTCACCATCATCGGAAGCCCATCAATCCACACATTTCGCACTTCGAGACCTTTTTTTATTTGGTCTTCCCCGCAGACTCGTTAGAGGGAAAGAAAGAGACATTTTTCGGCGGAACACACGACCCGCGTATCTTCTTATCAGTCCGGATTTCGCTGCGGCGATCATCTTGTCGGTTTTGCGTACGACAAGCAACAATGAATTATCACTTGTTGCGGCGGCGCCGGAGAATGTCGCTTTGTCGGTTTTGCGTGTCGGGTCAAGGGACTTGGAAAGTGCGGACGGTTCTGGGATAGTATCACAGTCGGCAGGGTACCATAATGTGTCCACAAAGGTACCTCTCAAAATTGGTCGTGAAGAACTCATAATATGCCCATCGTGAGACCTCCAGCATACCTTTTAGGAGCACAGGCGAATCGAGAAGGTACCATAATGGGTCCATCGTGAGACCTCCGGCATACCTTTTAGCTGTATCTGATCCATCTCCCTCAAGTCCCTCTCATTCTGCTCAAAATCTTCAGAGGTATACTCGTGGTACCATCGATAGACTTTAGAGCCTGCGATGTACCTCAGAGGGTATCGCGATACCCTTTCTCGATTCGTCTATAGTTGATTTGAGTCATTTTTGGATGTGTTACTGGAAAAAAAGTGATATAAGTACATCTATTCCTCACTTCATACATTGGAACCAGATGCGCCCCGGATTCCGAACATTTCTAGGGACCACTTCAGTGGCGTCAGCATTTCTAAGTGATCTCTAGAGTTGCTCTGGTATCCGTTACCGATGTTCGATCAAAGGGATAATAGGGATGTCTATTTTAAAGAGGCTTATTTACAATTCCTGAAGGTTTTCTTTTCATTAAGACTTCTCTTAAAGCTTTTTGGCCCGAGTTTAGCTTGGTTTTTTGACGTCTGTCTACCAAAAAGTGTGTAAAATCCTTTTGCATATTTTTTTGACTGGAAAAGGTTTCTTTTACCGTACGATTTACGGCTAACAAAAAAAAAGTTTCTACGCGTTTAAATTGGTTTTTATCAAAAGATAAATCTTTTTGTATAAGTAAATGAAAGTTAACTGATAGTTCCACGCATAAAAAGTGTACGGATATTTTAGGATCAATCGATTTTTCCCGAAATTGGTGAAGAAAAACGGGTTTTCAGGTCGATTTGAACGAAACGGCTACAGAAGAGCTCCTGGACAAATGGATGAGTCAGGCCGTTTCGGGGCTCATGGCCGCGTTCGCTTCAAGGCGGTAAGAGTGAATCTGAAAAGTTTTCCGCCATCGGATCTGCCGGATCAAAAATTTCACCATTAACTCAAATAGGAACTTGGAGAAACCAAAAAAAATTTTTTAGCACTACGTCGCATTTTTTTTTGCGTTCATTCCGGTGTCGCTTTAAAAAAAGAAAATTTGCTAAGGAAACTGCAGAAATGCGCGATGTCGCCGGCGGTAACGCGAAAGTTCTGCTTTGTATCCTTACTGATCTTGCATTTCCCTAGAATGCGTTTTGAACATTTTCAAATTTTTAATAAGTGCGGAAAAAAGCGACATCGCGCCTAAAGAAATGCGAGTCCGGCGCGATGAAAAGAATTAAACGCGATGTCGCTGGCGGTAGCGCAAAAGTGCTGCTTTGTATTCTCGCCAGTCTTGCATTTCCCTTGGCGCGATATCTCGTTTAGAAATTTAGTGCTGGAAAAATGCAACATTGCGCCTTAAAAAGGCGAGTTCGGCGCGACGAAAAGAGTTAATCGCGATGTCGCTGGCGGTATCGCAAAAGTGCTGCTTTTTTTCTCGCAAGTCTTGCATTTCCCTTGGCGCGATAGCGCGTTTTGAAAATTTTCAGATTTTTTGCGCGACATTGCGCCTGAAGAAATGCTAGTCCGGCGCGATGTCGCGTTTCTTTAGGCGTTTAACTACCGAGCTTGTCGGACTAGGCATTTTAGGTGCGAGAGAAACGCGACATCACGCCATCTTCATTTTTAAACTGAAAACTTGAAAAGAGAATATCCTTACAGTTTGGAGCACGTCGATGAAGACGCCCGGGAAGCGTTGCGAATTTGCTCGAAAGCTGCCCTGGACGTTCCGGCTCATGCCCGATGTGTCGTCAAGTTGATGGACGCCCAGAAGAAAGTCATCAAAGTTCAGAAAGGTCATTATCAGGAATTTTTATGTTAAGTTACACCTGAGGATCTATAAGCAATTACCTTCCAACCAAAATCTTGCCAGACCTTTTTTGGGCTTTTTTTGGGTGCGATCCAGCCAACGTATGATGAGTAAACTTATTTTAGCTACACATTAATACTCATATGAAGTTGATTTTTTTCAGAACATCCACACGCCGAGCTGAAAAGGAAGCCCGAGAAGAAGAAGGAAGACGTCGAATGGGTCGGCGGCTTTGGAATGGCGCGAGCCAAACGAGAAACTCACTTCGAGAAGCTCAAGCCCAAGGTGCTCCTTAGTCACTTGAGCTCGAAAAATAATGCAAAATGGATGGATTTGTAAAAAAAAAGACGGTTCAAATATTGAAATTTGCAAAAACGTCTTTTGACTATTCTGAGCGCTTTTAAAACCGTAGAAAGTTTGAAAAAAAAGCGAGAATTTTCCACATTTTCAAAGCGTTCGGAGCATAAGGAGAGCCATTCCAAATGCGACCATTTTTTGGCATTTTTTGAGGAGGGCACGCAGAGATCCGTTCAAAATGCAAAAGTTCATTTCTCCGCTTTCTTACATCATGAGAGCCATTCCAAATGCGGCCTTTTTCTGGTTTTTTTTTTCGAAAAATGCACCCAGAGATCCGTTCAGAATGTAAAGTTTCATATCTCAGCTTTCTTGGATCATGAGAGCCATTCCAAATGCGGCCTTTTCTTCCTTTTTTCCATCATGAAAGCCATTCCAAATGCGGCCTTTCTCAAAATATAAATTCGTCTTCCAACCTTGACCTTTCGCAGATCGTGAACCGCCCATCTTACACCTTGAAGTCGGCTTCCGATGGCACAATTATGACGAAAGTCGCTCGGAGTCTGTCGAAAACTGTCCGAGCTATCAAGAACAAGGACAGACCTGAGGGGTTCGTCTGGGAGAATCTGGACCAGGAAATTCGCCAATTTTTCAGGTGGCGAGAAGCTGTCGGTAGGGTGAAGAAGCTCGGCGACACGGCCAAGCAGGAGAAAAAGAAGCGCGACGCGATGAAGAAGAGGCTGAAGCAGATGATCGATAACACGCCGCCCGATTTGATTGACCCCAGGAAGCCGATTGCTCTTCAGGAGGTATGTGGTCCGCTCTCAGATTGTGATGGACATGCTGAACTTGAAGCGGAACAGGCTTGTGCGAAGGCCGACCCACCAACTTATCGCCCCCAGTCATTTTCTAAGCCCGACCCGACCCTGCCTGAACGAGTCCTCAAGCACAAAAAAATAGAAGCTTGGTAGGGCTACAGCATACATTTTCTGAATCCCACCCCAGCTTCTTACGCGCAAAAAAATTTTTTGAAAGTGTGCTGAAATAGGCCCCACCCCGGGTGCGAACCAGCCGTCGTATGTGCCCCAGCTTCTTCACAAAAAAAGAGGCCAAAGCCCAGGCTGGCCCGGGCCGCACAGCCTGAAACGAGATGTGGAAAAAGCAACTGTGCTTCAAAATGCACGCCTCGCTGGAAATTTACAGTACCGCTCAAAAGTATATTAAGTTTTGGTTTTTTGAGGATATCTCAGCGAGTACTTATCCGATTTATATATAACTTTCAGGGATAATGTAAAATATACTTTGAAACATATATGGTATACAAAGACATGTCCGCAATCACTGTGACTCGTTTTAGGCATTTTTTATTGAATTCAATTTTTTTGTTTTTCATGCTTTTATTTTTATTTATTTTTATCAAATTTTTTAAAAGTAATAATGTTGCCATATGTTTTTTTTTTCATGTTTTCAAACATGGGAAGAACCTCTGAAAAAAAGGATTTGACTGATAACGACCAAGACTCACCGCCCCTCCGATCAGACGGGAAGTTTTCTTGAATTCGCCATCTCCGCCATCCGTCTCGACCGTGAAACGACGTCTGAATGCTGCTGGAATCATGGGAAGACGTCCAGTGAAGAAACCGCTGATTCCTGAAAAGAATCGAGCCGCCAGGGTGAAGTGGGCGAAGGAGCATCTCAACTGGACCCGTCAAGACTGGAACAAGATTCTGTGGTCCGACGAAACGGTCCTCCACCATGTTTCACAGTGGGTAATTGGTATTTTGGATGATATCTGGACTCAATTGGTCCACGAACCCACTGAATTCCGTCACTCCCGAAGAGGAGGAACTTGCTTTCGTCGGACCACAGAATCTTGTTCCAGTCTTGACGGGTCCAGTTGTGATGCTCCTTCGTCCACTTCACCCTGGCGGCTCGATTCTTTTCAGAAATCAGCGGTTTCTTCACTGGACGTCTTCCCATGATTCCAGCAGCATTCAGACGTCGTTTCACGGTCGAGACGGATGGCGGAGATGGCGAATGCAAGAAAAATTCACGTCTGATCGCAGGGGCGGTGAGTCTTGGATTGGTTCTAGACGTCTTCAAAACGTTTCTATCGTCATTACGACCAGTGACACGTGATCTTCCAGCGCGTTGGCTGTTAGTAGAGCCATCTTGAGCTTTCCGACGCTTTAGGAACTGAGAAATGCACGCCTCTGTCACGCCGAACATTCCTGCGAACGTCATCATGGTCAGTCCATTTTGACGACCCACAACGATGGTTCTTTTGTCGTTATCAGTCAAATCCTTTTTTTCAGAGGTTCTTCCCATGTTTGAAAAACATGGAAAAAAACATAGGGCAACATTATTACTTTTTAAAAAAATTTGATAAAAAAATAAATAAAAAAATAAAAAGCATGAAAAACAAAAATTGAATTCAATAAAAAAATGCCTAAAAACGCGTCACAGTGATTGCGGACATGTCTTTGTATACCATATATGTTTCAAAGTATATTTTTACATTATCCCTGAAAGTTATATATAAATCGGATGAGTACTCGCTGAGATATCCTCAAAAAACCAAAACTTAATATACTTTTGAGCGGTACTGTAACTTTCTCGAACGTTCGTAACGCGAAACGGATGTGTTCCTGACGTTTCTGGTCGATTCTAGGGATCATTTAAGAGGGCTGAAGCTACTAAAGTGGCCACTAGAAATGTCCCGACACGTCCGATTCGCGTAAAAAATGTCCGAGTTTTTCGGTGCCTTTCCTAATAGGAACTACTTAAAGATACCAAGTGTAGATTTCTCTCACGGTTCCTTTTTTGCGCGCATCGCTTCAAGACCTGAGATCCAAAGGTTTACGGTATTTTGAACAAAAGAAACTTGGCTATAAGTTTCAGTTGATTTTAAAGGTACTAGGCTAATTTTTAAAAGCAATGATATTTCGAGCGTTTATGAAAAAAGATAGAACTGGGAAGAAAAGCAGCAAAGATGGGAGTTTTAGTAAAATCTGACGTCATTTTGAACCAGATGATTTTTCAATTTTTGCTCGTGAATAACTTCGGATGGATCCCAGCTTTTTGCGCGCGAAAAAAAATTTGAAAATGTACTGAAATAGGCTGCAGTTTTTTTGGAGGAGGGGGGTCATAGCTTTTCATGTTACTCTAACCTCTGATGCTGCCCAGGTCTCTTAACGGGTTTAATCATGTTGAGCCCGTATTTTTTGAAGCTTCTTGAGTCTCTTTTGTGCTAGAAAGGGTGCAAGGAGTAATAGGTTACCCAGCTCTGTTCATTTCGAAAATCTGAGATCTAACTGTGCTAAAACAGTGCCTCATCTGTGGTAAAGAGGTCAAAAGTTCTACTGGACGCGTTTGTTCGGGCTTATAAGGGGTACACCCGCTGAGACCCCGTCTGCCCTCCTCAGCATGAAAGACTAGCAAACGACGAACTTGGATTTCAGGTCGAAAAGAACGAGAAGGAGGAAGAGATCAAGAGAATGATGCGGAAGGAGGACACCAAGGAAGTTCGCGTTCCGTTGAAACTGATGCGCGACGCGGTCCGTGTCGCGATGCAGCTCGCCGGCCAGAACACCACCGATTTCGACAAAAAGACGCTGAAAATGGTCTCGCCGCGACTGATGTCGATCCTGCCCGAGCAGGAGGACGACAGCTTGGTCAGTGCCTAAAAAATGTATTGGCTAGAAATTTCAAAATCTTTCATCTCTTTTGCTGTATTAGTGTGAGAAAAAGTCTTCTTAGGAACTGCAGAGTGGTCTCTATAGGGGCCCCTCGAAGGTTCCTCTTTAGACGCCACTTTACTAACCTCTATAGGGACCGCTAAAGCTTTTGAAAGTGGTTCCTTTACTTAGGAACTTCAGATTGATCCCTGAAGGGGCAACCGTAGGAGCCCTTGAATAAGTGGCCCCTTTAGGGGACATGCTGGTTGATAATTTTATGAGCTCTATGCGAAGAAGCATTTCCATGCAAAAAACTGAACAAATAACCTTTTTTGAATAAAATTGAACGACCCCCATAGGGACCACTAAGCTTTCGAGGCTATGGGGTCAGACCCTCAACCCTTATAGGGACCACTTTTTCGATCCCTAAAGAAGCTGCTGTTCCGACTAACCCCTATAGGAACCACTCCAAAATTCCTAAGTACTGACCATGAAAGCTTTCAGAAGTGGTCCCTATAGGGGTTAATTAGCGACCCGGTTTTTTTTTTGAATGAAAAGGGTCAAACTAGGACAAATCAACCAAAAGTCTTTTTTTAGTTTTTAAACTTAACAAAAAATTCAAAGGCCCCTAAATGGACCACTTGTTATATAGGGGCTTAGGGGACCCCTATAGGGATCACCTTAATTTTATCTCTATAGGGACACGTTGATGATAGTCAGTTCTTTTTTAGACACCCTCTTTTGTTTGTAGTAATTAGGAAATTTTAGAAGTTTTTTTCCCAGAAAACTTAGCAAAATCTGAATCTCAGATCAACCTCCTGTCGCCGTCGCTCTTCTCGCTGCATGACGAAGGCCAGGGCCTCGAAAAGCTGCTGTCCCTGCCGCAGATGCTCAAGTCGCTCGACAACCGCGACCAGGAGGCGTGGCTCGACTTCATCGTCGAGGCTTCTGGAGTCTCCGACAACCTCGACAAGGCCGAAAAGACCATCGCCGACAACAAGGACAAGGAGATGCGCGGAGAAAATGGCGTCCCCCTCTACTTCACCAAGGAGAACGCCACGGAAATCATCGGCGACGTCGAGAAGAAGAAGATCGAAGTTTTCGAGGACCTCGACAAGTCTTACACTAAAGAGCAGGTGTTCGAGAAACTTCAAGAAAGATAATTCTGTTGGATTTTAGAAAGACGATCTCGACACCAAGGGCTACGCGTTCTTGGACAAGAAGCAGCTGAACACCGTCTACGGCAAGGGAAGTCCCTACGGTGACGTGAAGACGTTGAAAAAGTTCCGTCGGCTGAGGGACGATCCGGAAAGATTCATCGAGACTGAGTAAGTGCTGGAGGGATTTAAAGAGGGCAAAAAAAACTGAAAAACTACTTGAAAGACAAAAATGCGCTGTTGAGGATATGAGTACAGACTTCTGAATGACGTGACTTCCAGAGTTTGAGAATTCTTTAAAGTTGAGAATCCAGAATCTTCCTCGGGTACATTCAAAAAGAATTTATGGCCAATTTTTGAGAAAAAAAAAGACTTTGCATCTTTAATATTGTATATAGCCGATCCAAGGCTAACTTGGAACGCTGAGGGGGCGTGGCGTGTCTGCGCCCTCCGTCAACCAGGCACTGTCTCTTTTTATATCGTGTCAGGACCCTTTTTTTAACGGCTCTAGCCAGCCGTTGTAGTTGATGAATTTCCACTTTTCGAATCTACTCTTACACTGGTCAGGTCTCAGCGGGTGTGCCCGTTTTGAGCCCTTTGAGGATTTTCGAGTCTCAGTTGGGCTAAAACAGGGCAGCAACGGGCGCAAGGAAAATGGGTTATTTCAAAAAATGAGGCCTATCTGTGTTAAAACGGTGCTCTGATTAGTCAAAAATTTCTTCAAGTGAACGGGCACAAAAAGGGCATACGGGCTCACCCGCTGAGATCTACACGGGCGGGTATAGCTGATTCACGGCTGACTTGAGCCATCGAAAAAAGGGTCCTGACACGGTAATGCACGAGATATCGGCTGGTTTGTGGAGAGCGCAGACAGGCCACGGCCCTTAGCGTCCCGAGTTAGTGGGGAATCGGCTATAGCCTCATCAGCAAGACTTTGAAAAGTTTTAAAAGTTTTGAGTAATGAGTAGTGTCAGATAGGTCATATAAACCGTAAGAAATATCTTCGGTTACAGTATCCGAGCGCTGGCCGAAGCGGAGAAGTTCAAGGCGCGCCGGCACGACATCGTCGGCTCGCCCTTCGTCCTGACGCCGCTGACCTTCGCCTCGGCGCCGCTGACCAACACGTTTGTCGTCCTCTCGCCGATCGTCCTGTCCCCGATCACACTGTCACCGGCGGTCCTCGGACCCATCATCCTGTCTCCCTGGGTCTTCGTCCCTCTGGTCCTGTCCCCTCGTGTCTTGTCTCCACTCATCCTCAACCCGCTCATCTTCTCCCCGATCATCCTCTCGCCCCTGGTCCTCCATCCACTGATCCTGGTCCCGGGCATCTTCAACCCTCTGATTTTGTCGCCCCTGGTCCTGTCACCACTGATCCTCTCGCCTCAGGTCTTCACCCCGCTGATCCTCTCGCCGTTCGCTCTGAATCCCTTGATTCTGACGCCCATGGTCGGCTCTCCACTCATCCTTTCCCCCTTCGTACTCTCTCCGATCATTTTGTCGCCTCAGGCTCTTTTTGCAGTAGTCCTATCGCCCTACGCGTTGTCTCCTTTGGTTGAGTCGAAGTTGATCGCCGCTGAGGTCGTTTTGTCGCCCAGCTGGCTTTCATAAAAAGTTTTTTACTCCCTAATAATTTCCATAATGGTCCTAGGTACAAATGCTCTTGCGAGACTTTTTTCACACTTCATGCTGGTTTTGAAGTAAATATGCCCTTTAGTGAACCCTCAGCGCGAAATTATTAACTTTTTCGTTTCGCAGAAGCCCAAAACAATCATCCCACGGTTCTTTTTTTTTCCTGTTATTCGTTGTTTTTTTTTTCCTATATTTAGGTTTTTCCTCTGTGCAATAATTTTTCTTGTGCAATCGGTATAAATTTGTTCTTTTTTTCTATTATTTTTTTCTAAAAATAAGATGGTTTATGACCGGTTGTGAACGTTATTGATTGAATTCTTCAAAAAAACATGTTTTTTTGAGTTGAAAAATTTTTTTGAACTTAGGAATTCCATAGTGGTCCCTATAGGGGTAAAACTAAGGTGGTGCCTATATAGAATGTGATCCCTTAGCCCCTAAAGCTCAAGTGGACCTTATAGGGGTGTATCAATTTCATTCAAAAACGCTTATTTATTCAGTTTATAACATTATCTACTATCATTAAACCTATAGGACCACTTTTGCAGGATTTAGTTTTCCCTAAAGAGGACCCTCCAAGGGACCACTCCTAAGAAAGAGTTATTTCAAGTTTTCAGAAGCTAAAAGATGCAGAACTCTGTTGAGAATTAGAAAAAGCGAAAAATTAAACTTTTTTTTAAATCAATTGTCCAGCTTCTTGTAGAGAAAAAAATGAAAAAAATTGGAAAAAAATCAACATCTTGTTTTTAAAATTTAAAAAAAAGTATTATTTTTTTAAAAATTACCTTTTTATCAAAATTACATTTTTAATCGACATAGCTATCTCAAGTTGACAACAAAACTCGGAGAAGTTACGTTTCTGAGCCGTTTTAAAACAATAATGTTTCTCGAACTTTATTCTTCGCGTTTTTCGTTTAGGGAACACAAGCCATTTTTTCAAAATGATTCAGAAAAAAACGTTCTTCACACTTTTCGATAAACAGAGACTTTGCTGCCGCAGCTTTTGTCTTGATATGATTTGAGTTTCTGAAAGGATTTTTTTAAAGATAAAGCATATATTTTTACGTTCATTTGTCCACTTCTCCGTGAATTTCTCGAAAAGAGACGACGAAGCTTGAAAATGACCTCTTCTAAAACTTCTCCGTAAAATTATGTTGAAGTTAAATTTTACCTTCTAAATATGAATTTTTTGAGAATTTTTAAAAAAATAACAGGTGAACCACGCCAATTCCAACCTCAATTTTGTTCTTTATTACTTTCACTGTGTGGACCTGTGAACATTTTTTTTTTCTTCACAGGTGAGGTTAGTTAATCCACACAGGGGTATTTTTCCCTCCCTGCAACATCACCATACCATTCCGATGTTGCGAAAATGCAGTGAATTGAAATTAGCACATTTGATATCGACCACTTGTAAGTTATTTTGAAGCCGTCCTGCGGTATTTCGCTACTTTTTTGGTCCGTGTAAAGTATGAGGAAGAAAATTTATCATAAATTTTTTTTGTCGCGTTTAGAATAGCTGAAAGGTTTAAGGTTCGTCTTCGCTATTCAAAAATTTGAATTTTTGAGAATCGGCAAAATTTGAATTTTATTAATCGGTATAAATTTATAGTAATACGCTTCTTGAGTCATTTCGAAGGTATTTTTTAACCCCAACTGTGCAACTTTTTCATTTTGAAAAAGTATTATCAGTTTGAAAAGGCCCAATTTTTTTTTCTCTTAGGAGTTTTCTTAATTTTTTTTCCGGACTTTTTTTCGCAGGTATGCCTCGAGTACTGTGCAATGTTATAAATGATTAATTTTTTTAAAATAAAATTTTCCGATCACCTCAAAGCCAGGGGCCCAGCGTGCTTGCACTGCGGAGTCTTGTCAGAGTTCACATCCTTTTTGCCGAAATTTTTGCCGTTTTTCTTGGAAGAAATTTATCAAAATGATTGAAATTCATTCAAAATTTTCATTACAAAACATAAAATGTTCCTAATTTCAGTTTTTTAAACGATGTTTTTTGAAAGTTTCTCGGTTTCCGCTTGTACATAGTCAATAGATCCTGCGAATTTTTATCGCCGATTCCTTGGAAAGTTCATATTCTTTGTTTGATGCGGTTTTGGTCGCTTCATCACTGAATTTAACCAAAATTTTAAAGTTTACCGGTCTTTTCGTCCCAGGCTTTCCCTTGTAAGGAGCTTGCCAAGTTTTAGATTTTTCGAACTGTTTCTGGATCGGCGATTTTAGAATTTTCAGATAGAATGCTGGATCATAGTATAATGGAAGATGGACTACCGAGTCCAAAATAAACAATTGATCAAAAAGGTTCCTCGGCGCCAGACAGACCCACCTAAATAAAGCCTCGAAAAGAGCTAATTTGGCCCGATCGGGCAAAAAACTCATCAAAACAGTCGTTCGACTTGAAATCGATGTTCGGTTTGCGGGGGATGGAAGAAACAAATTCGAAGAAGACGCCGTGCGAGAAAATGTTTCTTTTCGCTCCATTTACCTTATCCCATTAGAGGGGCAAGCGATTCACTCCTTCTGGGTTGATGTCCCCGCCTTCTTCGGCTAGCCCGAGAGTACCGAGGGATCGTAAAAACCTGCGCGCCCCATCCCGTGTCTGAACACTCTTCGAAGATCAAATCAAATCAAAGCCTCCGTGGGCTACCGACGATGCTCCTTCACGCGGCTTAAGCCTCCCGCCGCCACCTCATTCGCGCCCTATTAAAGGGCATTCCGGCCCGCCGGGAAACCTTCTGCTGTTCCGCTTTTCTCAGCTGATCCTCCTTGTCAACTAGACGTCAGAAATGAGCTCGATATTCGTTCTGCTGGCTGTCGCCATACTCAGTTTTCTGATTGGTAGGTTCCCCCTCCTTTGAATCTGGGCTTCTTTCTCCGATAGTTTCTCACACACACATATATTCCGTCATCAGAGATGGTTCTCTACTGAAATCATCGAATAATGGAAAGCTGTCGTTGGTCAAGAACGCGTAGGACATCTCGCCCTTCATGAGATAGTAGTTGAGCGTTCATACGGCTTTCTCCATGCTTCTGTATTCCTAATCTTTAGGTTTCTCCTGGTTGGAGACTTCCATAGGAACCAGGTTTTCATTCTAAAGTTTTTGACCTTTCTCAGTCTTCGGATTTGGTTTGTCTTTTTCCGAATTTGGTTCCGATTTAGAGGTCTTTTTCATTCAGTGGTGTCAGGGGGGATATTTGAAGTCAAGATTGCTTTTTTATACTTTAAAAAAAAACAAGGCCCTTTCAAATCTAACCCGGAAAGTTTTCCAAGGCTTTTTACTTTTATCCCGCCTTTTTTTTTCTTTCCTCAGGCTTCTGATTGGTAGGTCTTCGAATTTTTAAGAACTTGAACTCTTCTACTATTAAGACGAGGTCGATGAGAACACTTCATTCTTCTTTGGAGCCTAGAATAAGTTAATTTCATACCATTCTTCTAGGTGGAATTTTGGTTCCTACCAATATTTTGAACTTTTCTTCTTTTTTTATTTTCATCAGTGGATTTTAATCTCGTTTTTGTGTTTACGCGTGTTCCTAGAGGCTTTCCGGGAATTTCCTAGGAGGTTTTCTATTTTTTGGTTAATGTTCGATGTCTTACTTGTTAGAAGTTTATTTAATCAATCATTTTGAAGTGTTTAGATTGATTTTCATCTCTTATTGGTCTGTTGATTTGAGTTTGTTAGATTGATTTGAATTCTCTATGAACTTAGGTCGAACAATTTTTTTAAAACTCACCAGAAGTTCATTCGATTATCATTTCATCAGACCCTTCCGTACAGAAAAGTTTCATTTTTGAACGGAAACTTCTAAAAGACGAGACAAAAACATCACGTTAGGTTTATCCTTGGTAAATTGCGGAAAATTGGCTGAAAAACTTCTGGATGTACCACATAAAGATTGTTTCTGCCAAACGTTCTTGTTTTCCAGCAAGAACGTCTCGAAACTGTAGCCAATTTCGAGGCGTCGGTTCTCGGGAATGCGGAAATTGTGTATGTTGCTTCAGGATCCTCTTCTGGTAGAAGGATTCCGAGTTTCAAGCTCAAAAAAGAACTTCCTAATACGATATTTTGGTTCTGATTTTGAAATCTTTCCCTTTTTTTCAAAGATTTTAAGAACCTATTTTAGACTCTAGTTTTGAAGAATCGGGGCTTTTCGGCTTCCTAAACTAAGGAACGCTTATTTATAGCTGATTCACGGCTGGCTTGAGCTATCGAAAAAAATGGTCCTGACACGAAAATGCACGAGAGAGCGCCTGGCTCGTGGAGAGCGCAGACATGCCACGTCCCTTTAGTGTCCAAGTTGGCCGTGAATCAGCTATAAAAATCATATTTTTCTGAAAAAAATTTTTGCAGAGTTTGGATTTTTTGTATTGTTGTTCAAAGAAGAATGAAAGTTCCAGCTTCAATTTGGGGTCGAAAAAAAATGATAAAATGTCATTTGAAAGTTTTTTCCGCTACATAACACACTGGAGAGAAGCCCGAAAATGTTCTCCAATAAGAAAAACATTTTTCTGACCAAAAAAAAGCTTGAAAGAGTTTATAGCCTATTCAGCGCCAGCTTGTCCCGTTTTTCTTTCCGCCAAAAAGACCGTATACTAAATTAGATCAAATTTCTGCTTTTAAAACGGCAAGAAACACAGGTCTTGAAGCGAAAGTTGGTTAAATTTAACCTGGCATTTAGGCGGAAATAAAACGTGACAAGCTAGAATGGCCTATACTATCTTTATAGGTCTGTAAGTCCAAAAAAAAAGGAAAATTTTTCCAGAGCCATGCCAAACGGCGGTCAACGCTTCCAAGGCGGAAAGCGCGATGAAGGACGCCTTGAGTTTGGCTGAGATCAAAAAGTCGCCGTATTACAAAGAGAACACGTTGGATATTCCGATCTCCACGGAAGCCGGCGAGGAACTCTTCGAGCACTGGACCAACCAGGCGTTCGCCGGCTTGATTTCGGCCATCGCCACTAGAAAGTGATCATTTTTGGGATAAAAATAATGGAAAGGAATATTTGAAGAATGAAAACCATGGAGAGCTATGACAAGGATGCCCATGAGAAATGTTCCAAAGAGGCCAAGGAGATCGAAAAACACGCCCAATGTCTGATGAAGCTGCTGGAAGCCGACCGGAAGGCCAAATGGCTCAAAAGGAGGAAAGGTTTGGGATTTTTTTTTTGATTTGGAATGTAGTAAGTTGCTTCGAAACGACTTGTTACCTTTGTCAAAAGATTGAGCGCGAAAAAAACCGTTCAGGGCTCGCGAGGAACAAAAGTAGTCGTTCTTCTTAAGGGATTACTAGAGTGATCACTTGATTTTCCCTCTAGTGATTGCTTAAAATTGGCCAAATTTTCATTTTTTACTCCCAGAAAAGACCATCATACTGCTTAAATTTGAAAAAAGCTCCGACTTTTCTAGGGCAGAACAAAAAAAAAGAACTCCACAGTGGTCCCTATAGGGGCAACTTTAGCGGACCTGGGAGGGTCCCCTCTAGGGATCACTTTATCAACCCCTATAGGATGACTTTTATGAACTCTATTCTAAGAAGCATTTTTTAAATAAATTTCGAAGACCCCTCTAAGGACTACTTAAGCTTTAGGGGCTTAGGAATCATTCCTTAAACCCCTACAGTGACCACCTTCATTTCACCCCTATTGAGACTAATTTTTCGGCCTCCATAGGAGCTTTTCTCTTCCTAACTCCTATAGGTATCACTCTAAAATTCCTGAGAAGCAGTCGCTCCTTTCTAGTGATCACTAGAGGGGTCACTCGGGTCTAGCATCTCTCACTATAGTGATTACTAAAAATGGACCAGTTTTTCAGATTTTTATTTACAAAAAAATCTTCAACCTGCTCATTCAAGTTGAAAATATAACTTTATTAAGGATACTTTTTCTTAGTCGTAGCAGTACAAGTTGTAAAACGAAATTGAGAATATTAGATATTTCGTTTCGTGGTTATTTCACCTCTTAAGTGGTCGCTTCGTTGATCCCTTAAGAAAACACTTAAAGCCTGTAAAAATGAATGGTTTCCAGATTTTCCTCCGTGGAAAATTTTTTGAGTCTATGGTAATCTTGAGAAGTTCCAGAAGGGGATACAGATGAAAATTTTAGATTTCAAAGTTCAGACAAAAAAAGGAAAACATCGAGGAGAAGGTCTTCAAAAAAAGATCCCACGTCTTCTACTTCATCCGCCTCGGGCTCTTCTGAAGATTGGGTCGGAGCCTTCCGGATGAGCCGAGCGAAACGATCGATTAAAGTCAAGAATATGGACAGTTACAATTTGAAAGGGGACATGGATAGGTAACTTCAAAATTGATTTATTGATTGATGATGGATTTTTGAGATCTCCACTCGGGATCATCGCCAAGCACATCGCCAAGACGGTCCGGATCTTGAAGAACAAGGGAGAGGCGACGGAGAGGTGAGAGGGAATAGAGAGAAAAAGGAGGGTGACAGGGAAAATTTCATTAACTGGCTTTTTAAATGGACACTATAGGGGCTGGTAAAGTGGTTCCTAAAGGGGTCGCTCCAAGGGCCCCTTGCCTCTATAGGGACCACTCTGGAGTTCTCAAGCAGTTGGTTTTCTATTTCCATCTTGAGCATTTGAGGGATCACTTAAGGGGTCCCAGAGACTTTTATAGATCCCTTGGAAAATACTCAGCGCTTCGGTGGGAAAACTTGTTTTTACAGCCAAAGTTGGTTTTTTTTTAAAGTCAGCGAAGTTCGATCAGGTTAAGAAAACAATAATAACGAATCCTCCGTTAAAGGGGCTCACTAAAGGGATTGCTAAATGGCTTAGAATCGTCTACAAGTAACCTAGAAAAGTGTTGAGAACTGACTGAACTGAGAAAAAGTATTCAGATGGCAATCGACGGTTGAACGGATCAAGGTGAAATCCCAGGAGCTGAAACAGAAGAAAAAGGCGCACGAGGCCATGAAAAAACGGATGGAAGTCTTCGCTCACGCCGCCAAAAGACTCAATTCTACTGGCGTCGAATTTGAAGCGCCGAAGGAAAGGCGTCGGAGCAGACCCTTGGCCATGAAGGTTTGGATTTTGTTCAGGGAGTGTAGTTTGAGTAGATGGGGCGCGCCGTAGCCAACAGGTTGTGTGCCTGTCTACGGTCCACAGGGTCATAAGTTCGATCCCCGCCCCGACCCAACCAAGGGGTTTAAGAAATGTTGGTAGTGCCGGCCTTAGATGTGATCTAAAAACAACAATTTCCAGATGTTTATGGAATGAATTAAGATAATTAGCTCTAATAAACTGGACTTGGAAAGAAAGTCCACTTTTTGACGAACTCGAATATTTTTGAGCTTTTGAAGGCTATTTTTCACAGAACTTACTCAAGGTCATTTTACTTTGCGGTTTGGATTATCCTGAAAATTGGCCAGATCACTCCTTGATGTACCAGAAGAAGATCCTGAAAGTCTCAACCTGCAAAACTTTCTAGTTTTCAAGAAATAAGGGCTCAAAGCCCCATTTTAATGGATTTTGAGGGTTTTCTTTTTCTCGAGTAGAAAGTTGTGCAGGTAGAATCTTCTTCTGGTACTTCAAGATGTGTTCTAGCCAATTTTCAAGGAAATCCTAACCAAAAAGTAAAATGACCTCCCGAGAAATTAAAAAAAGTAGCGTCTGAAAAGGTGAGGAAAAGTCGGGTTCTTTTTGGAATTTGGGATTTTTTCAGTGAATCACAAACGTTTTGAGCTCCATATAGGTATTTTTGATTGAAATGGTTTTTTGTAATCTTTCTGATGCAAATGTATTTTGAACAAGTGAGAGAGAAGCTTAAATAAGTTCAAATTATTTGAGCGAAAAGCCGCGTTCGACGAAATTTATGAACTTTTTGCGCTCTGAGGCTGCAGAATGAACTAAAAAGAGCTACTCCCAGAAGAAAATTAGTGAGATTTTGCGCTCTATTGATGAATATTGATCGATTCCAGCTTTGAGCATCTTCGGATGAAGTTTCTTCATTTGACAACAGAGCCTTTTTCAAGAGATTTATTGCGCTCTACGGATAAGTTTGGAAGATAATACTTTTATGGGATCACTTAAGGGACCACTAGAAAAGCTCACAAACGTCCGGTTTGCGTTACCGAGGTTCCGAAAATGAGCGACTTCAAGTCTTGATTAAGGGCTTTCGCGCTCCATGGCTGATTATAGTCTGTTCAGATTTTGAATGTCAAGTGCAATGACGTCATCGAAAAACACTCTGTGGATGGCTCGCTCTCTGATTGGTTTATCGCACCATTAGGGGCGGAGCTTGAGCGAGGACTTGACATTCAAATCTGAACAGAAACCAATCCAAATTTCCACTTTAAGATAAAATGGACAATCCTTTCGATTCCCATTATCATTCCATAAAAGCACTTTCGCCCTAAAAGGGCCTACCGTAAATATCGGAGAGGCGCGAGATTTCGCGATGGCGTGCGCCCAATAAAATCCCGCAAATCACGTCCCTGCAAGAGGAGGACGAGAACAATCGACGATTTATGTTGCAACGCTTTGTAACTGATCGACTTGACCGTGTACGTGATTGATAACGAAATATGGAAAAAAAAGGCATTTTTCATCGCATCATTCAGCTGATTGACCTTTGGGCGAATCAATCTTCGCACAAAGAAGAATAACGCTGGTCTCTTGATCGTTTGTTTTTCGCGAAGTGTTTGTTCGGATAACGATAAGAAGGGCTTACAAAGGGACAATGAAGGGAGAAACCCAGATTTCGGACTTTGCTGATACCGTGGCCTCCCATTCTTGGGACCACACCTGGGCAAGTGGGGATCTCAATAAGCCCAGGCGCAAATCATTTACGACTCCTCCCAATTTTTCTGAACTGTTAGTACTACCTCCCTGAGGCAAACAATTATTATTTTTGCTAGAAATACCTTCCTGAGGTTGTAAATTGGTTTTATTCCTAATTTTCTAAAATTTTTGTAAGCCAAACCCGTACTTGCCCAATTATGAGCCTACGGGATGGGTTGAACTTTGAAAATTCTGAGAAAAAACGCTTAGAATTGAGCCGTTAGAGGTAGTTTTGACCGAAATAAGGCTGAGTTTCAACCTCACCAGGGGATACTGACTTCAGTTCAGGAATACCTGGGATTAGGTCCTTTAAGCGACTGTAGAACTGATTAAGCTCGGGGGGTTGATTTTCAATTTTTTTGAGGGAAAAACGCATCAAAAAAAGTTTTTAGGCTTCAGAGGTAGCTTGGGCCAAAAATCGACAAAACTCGTTGATGATCTCGAGGAAAAAAATATCATATCCGCTCGAAAAATTAAAAAAATCGGTCTTTATGAAAAAAAGGTCATTTTAATTATCGATCCGGAATTTCTTAAAAATTGGCTAGAACAGTTTTTGATGTACCATATGAAGAATCGTGGAATATTCAATTTTCACAATTTTCTAGTTTTTGAGAAAGTCAAACATGACCTCAGAGAACGTCAAAATGGGCAATTTGAAGTGGTTGAGCTCTTATTTCTCGAAAATTGAGAAGTTTCAGAGGTTGAGACGTTCAAGATCTTATTGTGGTACAGCAAGAATAGTACTGGCCAATTTTCAGGAAATTCCCAATCGTGAAGTAAAATGACTTGAAAATATTGAAATTCTCAACCCGATTCTGAGCACCGCGTCATTCTCAAAGCCCAGGATCCTGCCTTTTCGACCTTTTCACCACCTTCATAAGGTCACAACGTGTTGACTTCATAAAAACAAGCGATCAACAGATCAGCGTTATTCTTCTCTGTGCGAGAAGATTGATAGGGGCCCGATATTCGACCAAAAGTCAACACATGGGTGAAGATCAACGGGTGCATCAAAATAAAAGTGCGTTGCAAGTCCCGGAACCGTATCCCGATGCACCTTCCTCGTTGCAAGTGATGGATGACGAGAAATGATGGTTGAAAAATGAGAATAAAGATCGGATCTTGAGGCCGTTTACGGAACATGGTCGCTCCGAAGAGAAAGCTGTGGAGGGGGTTTAATCCTGGGGAGTTGTTAGGAAGAGGTTGCGAGGTATATAGAAGCTAGAAGATCTTCTGAAAGCCTCTGGAAGATGTTCGGAAGGTGAGAATGGAAAATGCCCGCCAAAAGCCTGCTGGAAAGCTTTTGGAAAGCATCCGGCAGGTTTTTTTTTTCTAAGTAGAAGATGACCACTTGCTGGAAAGCTTTCAAACGCCTTTCAAGGAACCGAGAGCGGAAGCTTCCCAACTTTTACCTGAGAATAGAGTTTTCCCTTCCGAATGAAGATATCCGAATATTTTTCGAAAATGCGAGGTATCTGCTAGTTCCGTTCAATTTTTCATCGTCGGAAAATTTGAAGACGAAGCTTTTTGAGACATAGTTGCTCCAAGGAGAATCAATACTAATGAATTTTGGTATCTGTGAACGGATTTTTGCGTTATTTTCCAATCACTCTTCATCTCGAAAAGCCCTAAAATAAAGAAAAAAAAATTATGAATCAAATTTATTGGTACTTCATTTATCCTTGATGAATCCATAATCAAACTGATGAGAAACAACATTTTCCAAAAATTTCGATATTTCGAAAACGAGTTTTTAATTTATTTTCTAGCCGCGGCTCAAAAATTTCCAGCCATTTTTTTCCAGGAACTCGACAGCGTCGAAAAATACATCGAGGATGAGGAAGTCCTGGAAATGCTCCACAAAAAGGCCGAAAACATGACCGACGATGAGAAAATGATGCAGGTGCCCATAAAACTGATCCGTCAAGGTTTTGGCTTGAAATTGTTCAAATTGAAGGGATATAATACTTTTAGCCGCGAAAATCGGCTTGACGATGAGCGGGAAAAACGCTAGTGAGCTCGAAGGAAAGTCGATTCGAATGATCAGCCCGAGGATCATGGGAATCATGCCCGAGGAGGAGAACGACAAGGAGGTGAACAAATGAAACGGATTGAATATATCCGGGTTGTTCAGATCAACATCTTCTCGCCGTCGCTCTTCTCCCTGCACGACGAAGGAAAAGGCGTCGAGAAGGCGACGTCGTTGAGCCGAATCCTCAAAGGCTCCAACTTCGGCGACGCCGATTCCCAGCAGTTGATCGACCTGATCGTCGAGGCCACTGGCGTTTCGGAAGCCGTTGAAGATGCTGAGGTCCTCAGTTATACCGATTCTTCCAAAATTCAGAGCGAACTCAAACGAGTTCACTGTGGAATACACTGAGGAGAATGCAAAAATGCAAAATTTCAAATTGACAAAAAAATTTTTTCTAGAAGACTAACCTTGAGAACGTAGTCGAGGTAGAATTGGAGGACAAAGTATTCGATCGCTAAAAAAAACAGTCTGACGCGAGAGAAAAGCGATGTCGTTGGCGGTAAATTAATAACATCGCAAAAATTTCGCACCATCCTTGCACGGAACTCGCATTTTTCAAGCGCGACATCGCATTTATCCCGCACTTCTGAAACATCCAAAAAAAAAAATTCGAAGTTTCTAAAATGCGATATCGCGCAGAGAAAAAGCGATATCGCGTCAAGGAAAATGCAAGACCGGTGCGGCTAAGAAGCACCGGTCTTGCATTTTAGCGAGGTCGCAAATGTACTGCCAGCGATCCAGAATTTATCCTGGCAGTTACTTTCCTAGTGGTAATCTCAGGAAAAGGATCATGACCTCAGAACAACTTTTCCAGAGAAACTTTGTTTTCAATTTTAGAAAAAACTGGAAGAAACGGACCGGAAACGCGACGAATCGATGGGATTACGTGGGCCTGACGGTCAGCCGCTGTTCTTCACCAAGGAAAATATGACCCGGATCAGTCCGAAAGAGGCCAAAAAGATTGAGCTGATCGAGAAGTTGGAGAAGATGTATACGGCTGAACAGGTGGGTTTTAAAGGAGCAGAGGCTTTTCGATTTTTGTGTCTTTAGGAGCATTGTAGCGTCACTAATATTATTTTTAGACACGATTTTTATGTTTCTATGACCTGAGAGAAAAGAGAGTGCAGACAGGTCAGAGTCGTGACGGACTTAGGAATTTCAGAGCGGTCCCTATAGGATTAGGGGCAAAAAACAACTCTTATAGGTAGGGACCGCAAAGCCACGCCCCTTTTCGCGATAGAAAAGGGGGCTTTTTTTTATTGGTTTTCAACTTTCATTTTGTTGTAGTTGCAAAATATATGGAACTGGATAATGAAATTTGACACACATGTACAAAAAAGCTTCCTCTTTCGTTTAAAAAATATTTCACGCTTTTTTGATGCGTTCTCGCGGAATGTCGTACAAAAAAACGTGAATGGAACTAAAAAAATGTTGTCATTTTTTTGCTTTTTTTCATGTGTTTTTCAGGTCGAACGCACTCTTTCTTTTTCTTATAAAATGATTTTGATTCAAGTAACGGTAATTTTAAAACAATAAAATAAAAAAATTCGTCTTTGCCAAAAAAATTTTTAGGGAGTGCCGAAAGTCATAATTCAAAAATATCGTTAATAAGCGAATATAATCGAGTTTTTTTATTTTTTTTCAAAAATTTAGATCGTGGGCTTACTTAAATATTTCTCCACAGCATCTGTGTTTGAAAAAAAGTTGTTTAATACGCAAAAAAACGCTCTTGAAAACTAGAGAATAAAAATTAGCGGCGTTTATCACACAGAAAGCGGTCGAACGCAGGTTTTTTTCAAACGATTATATACATTTTTTTAGTAAAAAAATCTTTCAATTAAAAAGAATAAAAATAAAAAAATTCGTCTTTGCCAAAAAAATTTACGGGGCCGTTTTAATGCAGCGATCGTTAAACGAGGCAAAAAAAGCACTAAAAAAACAGCTTTTTTTCAAAGTGAATTTCCACGGAAAGTTTAGGTAAAGATTTGCGAACATATTCTGATAAAAATAGCTAAATACTTCAAACTTTTCTTTTTAAAATAGGCAATCTGTGCTATCCAAACGGCTCAAGGGTAAGGGGGGTGGAAGCTCCCCTCGCCAGACCTAACAGCTTGGCGCAGCGCGTGCGCTGCGATTTTTTGTTTTGAGGTCGCGAGTTCGATGCCCACAAGCGTCAGTTTTTTTGTTTTCTGGAAAATACCGACTTTTTCGGCAAACTAGCAAATTTTCATTATTTTAGCACTCTATTAGGATTTGTTACATCATAATAAACCAGTATCAAAACTTGTTCTAGAAGAAAAATCGAGAAAAATGTCAAAAATGGATAATACCAAAATTTCAGTACTAAAAAAATGGTGCGCGGCGCGCCACATTTTTCGTCATAACTTTTTTCATCCTGAATCTTTTTCGAAAAACTAAACGGTTCTGAGTTTTAAATCGAAACAGCTATCAAACCATACAAAACTCAATGCTGAAAAAAAATTTTTGAAAATTCGTCTGCGGTCCCTACCTAGAGGAGACCCCAAGCTTGCCCTATAGGGACCACTCTAGAGTTCCTCAGTACATCAAGAAATACGGTGAATAGGATTGAAGAGGTCACTTAAGAATAGTTGGTAGTCATGGCTCCATATTGCTTCAGCATACAAATTGAACAGATGAAAGAAATGAACACGACGGGCTACGCGATCCTGACGCCGGCGCAGCGACTCCACGTCTACGGCCCCCAGTCGCCTCACTACAATCCGAAGCTCCTGAAGACGTCGGGAAACATGACCAACGCCCAGATCCGACGCCTCATGCACCAGACCATCAAGGACGTCGCCGCTGGAAAGACCAAATTCGAGGTTCTTCTGAGAAGTTCAGAAGTCAGAAGAACTGGAGGAGATTTTCAGGTCCGACGGAACGATATCGTCCTGTCGCCAGTCGTCAACACCGCTTTGATTTTTGACCCGGTGGTACGTTTTTCTCGTAGTCTTTGAATCCCGAGTGGAAAAGTTTGCTTATCCAGTTTTATAAGTTCTAAGCGATGAGGGACCAAGAGAGTGCAGACGGTTATGACCAAAATGACCAAAACTTGCAGTTCGCCTCGCAATCGATCGTCCTCTCGCCGGTGCTTCTGACGCCGCTGATCGGCTCCCCGGCCATCTTCGGCAACGTCATCCTGTCGCCGTGGGTCTTCGTTCCGATCATCATCTCGCCTCGACTTTTGTCGCCGGTCATCCTCTCCCCATTCGTCATGTCGCCAGTCATATTATCGCCGCTGGTGCTCGACCCGGCCGTCTTGTCGCCCGGCGTCATGAACCCGTTCGTGCTCTCCCCGCTGCTCCTGACGCCGTTCATCCTGTCGCCGCAGGTGATGACGCCCATCATCCTGTCGCCGTTCGCCCTGACGCCTCTGATCCTCAACCCCATGCTTCTCTCCCCGCTGGTCCTGTCGCCGTTCGTGCTTTCCCCGTCGATCCTCTCGCCTCAGTTCGTCACGGCGTTGGTCCTCTCACCGTACGCTCTGTCGCCTTCCGTCGAGTCCAAAGGAGCCCTCATCACCGTCGTCGCCTCGCCCAGCTGGCTCAGCTAGTCTTTCCCTTCTTTTTTTTTCTACAAGAGGGCTTTTTCAGTTTGAAGTTTGAAGTTTGGAATTTTTTGAAAGTTTGCTAGATCTTCATGAAAATCTTTCATAGAAAAATTTTTCACTTTTGCAGTATATCTTTTCAAAATTGCAAAATATTGATTTTAGGACGGATTCTGCGTCAAAAACGAGCTAAATACCTCCGAAGAGTGTCTAAGAAAAATAAAAGAAATTCTAAGCTTTACACGAAAAAACAGCCCCTTGTTAGAACCTTGTGCAATAGATATGGGTCCGGTTGCCTTCGCAAGTAAAACAAATGCCAGATAATAAATGATTTAATGTGATATGTTCTCTTTTTTGAAATCAATAAGACTAGAATAATTGAAATGACGTCATCGGAAAGTGTAGAGCAAATAGGCGACCAATGCGAGGATCACCGTGTGGGAAGGCGTTTGCGAGGAGGAGTAAGCCGAGTTGCACCTGCAAAATTTGTGTATTTCAAGATTTCAGGTAAGGAGATTTCTGAGAAAATATAAGAGGGGGAACACATCTACAACATGAGCAATAACGAGCAAACTTCAGCCAACATGAAAAGTTGGGTGTTTAAAGCCTCAAAGCCTCAGTCTCTATAAATCAGGGGGGGTTATATATTACTCATCCAGCTGTAAAGAGCAGATTGAAAAAAGCTCCGAAATACTTTAATTGGACTGTTTTTTCTCAAGTAGGTTCCTGGATAAACTACTGAAACTGCTAGGATTTTTGATCGAATTTTCACCGAAAAAAAAATAATTAAAGCTCTTTTTGAAGCCTCTAAATGAACCGTTTGGCTCTTACTACTGATTTTTCACTAAAAAGTTGATTGAAGTCATTCAAAAGCTTCCGAATAAGCTTTTGAAACGCCCAGAAAAGGCCTAAACCTGCCTGCAAGAGAAGCTTTAAACACTGAACTCACGGGAAGTGCGAAAGGTCGAGGTATTAGATTTTAATGAAACTTGGTATATAGAAACTATCGGACACCCTGAATCCAAAGAAGTTGAAAAAAAGTGCGCCTTCTTGGTTCTAGTCGAGTTATGGCGCCTCAAATTTTGCACGCTAAGAATGCATTGAATGGAAGGAGGGAATATGGTGCAGCGACTATCTCTAGCCGCCGGCATGCAGTGTGGTGTAGTGGCTAACGGCCTTGAGTTGTGGTACCCATGATGCGGGTTCGTATCCATTTGGTGAAATTTTTTTTGCCATTTTTTTTCTTGGAAAACTGATAAGATGAAATGAAAAAAACCGCTCAAAATGTTGAAATCCACCATTTTATGTAGTTTTGAGCAAGGTTTTTTCAGGGTGTCCGAAAGTACCTAGTATCATTAAATTTCAATTCATCGACCTTTCTCCCATGTCAGAATAAATTTGAATTGATTTTTATCTCGAATTTCATCCGAAAATTTCCAAGTGAACCCCGGGAAATGTTCCAAACCTGTCTCCCAGACAGCTGCAGACGCGGATGCGCTGCGAGTCGGCCTGCTCGTGCCGGAAAAGGTCCGCCGCCGACATTTCCCTGCAATTTCTTCGTTCCTTCTTTATTTAGTTCTTCCCCTCCTCGGCCAATTGTTCTATCCCAGCTGCTTATTATTATTCCTTTCTCCTCGTTCAAAATTTATTCTTCTCTTTGTCGGGAGTCGTTTTATTCAATGGGAAAAAAACTAACCGGCAAATATCGTAGCGGTCGAACAAGCTCAGCGTATGGTTGTTCAAGCCCCGTTTGGCTAGGGTTAGGGCGCACCCGCGCATGTACAGCGTATGGCCCGTCGGTTGGCCTGCAATCTTCTTTTTGAGTCAGCTCAAACTCAAAAAAAAAAAAATAATTGCTGATAATCAACTATTTTATTTTGAAACGTTTTGAAACGATATGAGACATTTCCGCTTCATTGAGAATTAAAGGATCCAACTATTTTTAAAGCGATTATTGTAAAATTTTTTAGCCCTGGCAAGGCAAAAAGGATAATAAGACCACAATTATGCTATAACAAGTTCAACACCACGGATGGAACTTTTTCGCAAGAATACCAGTCAACCAGGACGACAACACTGGATGACCGATTGCATAAGACCTCCTGGAAAACGTGTGGTCCACGCTTCGATCAATAAAAGGCACTGAAAGGCAATAAAAGGTCGAAAGCGAAGATGGACCATCTAAGTATCTAAGTAAGTAAGTAAGTATTGTAAAATAAGTAGCTACGATCTAAAAACCAGCATGTTCAGTTTTTCTTTTTTGAGATAAATTGATAAATAATTTTTTATAGCTGTTTAATGCTACAGTATCCTCATGCCTACCGTAAAAAAATGAAATTAAAATTTTCTAGTGATCTTTTTCCAGCATTTTAATCAAATATAGCCCAAAAGTCATATTTTCTCAATCAAATTTTCTCAGCCATTCAATCCCCTACAGTACCCTTCTCTCTACAGGAAGAAAAAAAAACTACTTTTATCGATAAATTTCTCTTAACCTACAGTACTTTTTTTTTATCGTAAGAAAATGAAATTAGACTTTAGATGACGGAAAAAAGGGCACAAAATGGGCTTTTATTCAGCAGTTTATCTCAGAAATTCCATCGCTTACCGTACCATTCTCTCTACCGTAAGAAGTTAAAAAGTTACCTTTCTCAAAAATCCCATCACCTACAGTACCCTTCTTCATATCGTTAAAAAATAAAAAAATTTCAGCTTTTCAATAAAATAGAGAAGGATATCTTTTTTCAATAAATTCTACTTTCTTTCCGAAATTACATCACCTACCGTACCCTCTTTTTTACCGTAAGAGAAAGAAATGAGCTGTTTCAATAAAATAGAGGACAAAATTCCTTTTTTCATGCATTCCATTCCGCACAGTATCCTCCTCTCTACCGTAAGCAAGAAGAGAGTAACTTTCTCTCAGAAAATGCACCACCTACAGTACTCTTTTTCATACCGTAATAAAATAAGAGCACAAGAGTCGCCTTTTCCAAGCATTCCATCACCCACATTACCCTTCTCTCCACCGTAACCCCCGGAAAATGTTACCCATGACGAAGAGTTCCTGTTTGACGGTGAGGCAGATCGTCCGGCAGGTGACGACGTGCATATCAGCGACGTTCATCGGTTCGTCGCAGTGCGAGGAAAAGTTCTTCGGCGCGTTGAAGTACCTCAAATAAAACGGACTGAACCCTCGGTTTAATCGCCAAGAAAGTCGTCAAAGCCGTTCGGCCGAAATTTGGCAACAAAAAGAGGGGTCGGAAGAAAACAGCGGCATTATTTATTAGGGCATCTCATGTTCCTTTTTGGCGTCTTTTTGACAATATTTGACTTTTTTCAAACTTACCTTGGCTTCTATTATCCTTATTACATATAATCTTAAAAATTAAACAAAAATCATGAAAAAAATACTCAAAAATATCAAAAAAATCAGCTTTCAGAATGAAGATAGGCAGATATAGT